TGATAAGCAACATCAATTTTTTTTCTTTGAACGATGTAGTGTCAATTGCTTTGTTTATATTTGAGCTATTACCTACCACAGTCAATTTTCCTCTTGAGAAAATAAATCTATTTACCTTTTCTTACTCATAACGCAATAAAAGGCGAGAGACGAGGTGGGATTTTCTTTAGAGACAATGGAGCAGTGCAAAAGTGTATAATTAAAGCAGTTTTAAAATAGAAAAGTGAAAAATGGCTTCAACTATATTCTCAATCTTTGTTCTAAAAATAGAGGCTCGTCAAGCAAACCGTGAACAGACATGCATTCATTAATAAATTTGCATACATTCATTCTTTTTTTAAATGTTGAATTGTAAGCGGATTTTGAATTAAATTTGCTTTACCTTTACAAAGGGTACCTAAAAGATCTCCTGCATTCCAGGATTGTGATTCACATTTATTTAAGTAGCTACAACGTTCGAGTTCCTATAGTTTCATTCTTCAAGCAAATTGGGGGTTAATAGGAAGAGAACAGGTAAAATTGATGTAGGGATAATTTATCCGAACGCGTCCTTAAAGCTTCATTATGTATTATACAAAGCGTTTGTGCCTGCTACACAACACGAAACCCTTCGGGTTAATAACGCGGGGTTAACTTTGTCGCACGCTGCAGAGAAATATGATCTTTACACCTACTTGTCAGAAGTGCAAAATTACAAGCTTTCTTGCTAGTTCGTGCATGTATAGGTGTGTAGGTAGTAAAATTTTATAAAACTCAAAGGCAGGTTTTAATGAGATTCTCAATTTAAAACTGTAAAAAGATCATGTTTATTTCCGACAATTGAGCGAATGGTATATTCTAATACAGGTACTAAATATTAATGAATATAACTAAAAATTACAATGTTTTGGCGCAAAATATATTTAGCATGCCCGACCATCCGGGGTTCAAGAGACGTTTGTACCGAAAGGTCGTATTTATAATTGCAAATAACATATCCCAAATTTACGAGTCCTTAAAAGTCGTGAATTCCAAATTACACCGTCTGTACCTACACATTTTCTTTCCATGAATTATTAAAGTAAGACCTACGTTCCCTTCCGTGTTAGAATATGTTATTAGGTGAGTAATGAGCAAGAAGCAAGTGCCAATCATTAAAATCTCGATTAAAATAGTAGTTTATTGTAATTAATTCCTGTATCAATATCATGTCGCCACCATTGATGGTAACCGAGATGATAATACTACTTTAGTGGTGTTGGATTTTTAATTTCAAACGCCTACCTGCACAAAAAGTATAAGATGCCACTGAAAAGGAAGGTATTTCCGGTAAAAAAGACCATTCTCTATTAACCACTTTTTTACGTAGACGCCGAGGTAGACACTAATATTTTTTGACCTGAGGGTCGTTCAATGTTCCTAAGCTCCTATGACATAGAAGTAAGAAAAATGTGAGATTTGCATTGAAAATTGCACCAGTTAGTTTCGGCACAGATGACGTCCATTTTTTTTGGGGTTAAAAGTTATTTCAAAATCAAAACGATCCCTATGATTCCGTTTCCATTTCTAGCCGTCGTAGATATTATTTATTAGGAGGGACAATCCAAACGATATAGTAACACGCTGTGATAGTATAGCAGTAACTATAATTGGGCTATTATCTCAGCTATGGACTATGGCTCAACGTATATTGCCTACTCTGGCCCTGGTTAATGCTTCGAGTTTGAAGTTTGAATCATGATACTTAAGTTTTCAATTTTTTGCATTTTCTTTATTACATTAATGTATCACAACCTTATCTCGTTTATATATCTAATTATAATATATTGTATCATATTTTTCAAATTTTTTAGTGGCCCTCGTAATGACCGTTAGCCATTTTATTGATTGGTATCGACTGCCTTAGTTACCACGAATACAATAAAAAAAACAAAATCTCCATGGATCCAAGGCCTTCTATTTAAAAACCGTAAAAAATAAGGATTTTATTTTTGGTTCATGGCTAAAATTTAAAAAAAAACTATAGGTTGTGATACGTCAATGTAATCATGAGAAAGAATGCAAATAATTGACGTTAGGATATACAGGGCGTTACATTTAAACAATACCAACTTCGGGTCACATAATGTGATGTGTGATGTGATTTGTTGGACCACATTTTCTGACATGTGACTCACATGTCACAAAAGGTGGTCCAACAAATTTTTTTACTACGCCACTGGATCCTACGTAAAAATATCCAAATTGAGATCCAAATTAGGCAGTTTTTTCCTTTTTTCTATCTTAGGCGGGTAGTAAGATATCCGAAGAAATTATAACATCCCAAAAAGTCAAACTTTCATTTTCACCCTGTATCTCAGCTGGGAAACCGATTCTGTTTGTGGTATTAAGTTTCACAAAAAAATGGCATAGAATCACGAAAACATGTAGGTATCTTTAAAAACAGCTGAGCTGAAATGCACACGGGAAATATTTAATAATCCCGTTACTTACGGCTAAAATATTTTCAATTTTAAACCACTTTAGCTTATACTCTAATTTAGACCGGAAGTTGACTACGTTATTTTAAATAAGTGTGGGATGATCTAATTTTTTTCATTTTTGTATGTACTCAAAAATTGAACCATAGATCTAAAGTGAAGACTTTTGAAAATATTTTTTCGAAATGTTTGCAAAATATCCTCCTTCAGCAAACAAGTTGCATTTTATTTCAAGATTTCCTTTTATAAATCATAGATCTTATCTAATACTTATGTAACACCAAAAAAATATGCATATGCTCCGCTGCAGTGTTGAAAATGCGAAAATATTGTTTTTTAATGGGAAACCCCTTTTGTTCTGTTCAGTAATGGATTCTAAAGTGAAAAGTAAGTTCCTAATTATCCCCCCCCCCCCCCAATATCTAAAAAAACAGTGCAACCGTTTATCTTCTGCGTTTATCTCTCAAAGACAAGAGGGAATCGTATGGACTCTAAAGTTTCGGGAAGTCTCTTGGAGATCCTTTAAGGCTCATGAAAAATCGTGGAGGCTATTTGGGTTTCTTAAAGACCCATGAAAGCTTTTAAACCTGTTAAGGTTTTTGAAGGTTCTTTAGGATCCCTTTAAATGCCAATATTAAAGCCTCTCAAATCCCCTACAACACTCTTGGGATCCCTTCAATATTTAGGAGCACTTATAAAGGCTCTCAAACATTCCTAAAACCTCGCGTAATGGTGTTTAAACTCTAAAATGATGTTGATTTTTATGAACTCTTTTTAAAAGCTCTAAAAGACTTTTAAAGCGAGTTTTAAATACCCTTGAAAGCATTTAGCAATCTCGCAAAGGACCTTAAAAGCGCTTTTCTGTCTAAGTAAGACTGTGATTTGTGAAATTTGAAATTGTGAAGATTATAAAATCCCAGGTAAAATCCTGACATCCTATGATGCATATTCTCAAATTATTTTGGTTTTTTTGGTTGTGAAATTCCAAAATCACACATTTTTGTTTGCGCTGTTGCTCTGGTTGTCCGTGCTGTAACTACATACTTCCAAGTGTAGTGTTCAAGATACATGTAGTCAGGAGTGTGTACTTGCATCTTAATTTGTAAATCAATTTCATTTCAGACAAGTTTTCTGTAGATTTCGCGCACTTTTTACATGTCACACTGTCCTAGCGTATGTCGGAAATTTTTACTTTATTTACTACGTACTCGACTACGTGCTTAAATAGAAAAAAAAACAAGCAATTGATTGATCCTCACTACATCAATAGTGATAACGGAAATGTCAAGATCTATTAATTTCCACAGAATTTTTTTAAATTTTGCTCCGAGTTTTGCGCTCGCCGTTGGGAATGGAATCCTAAAATGGTTTTCTAAAAATTATCCGAATTATCTCGGGAATTATAGTATTTTTATCAACAAGTTAATGAAGACGATTTCTTTTTTCTAGCAGATAATTTTACCTCGTCTACTCAAAATTATCTTAATGATAATATTTACACGTACTTGCCTTGTTGATAATTATAATTTATAAATGAAAGAATAAAAGATAAAATAAAATAATTCTCATTATCTTGTTGATAAAAAGAATTATTTTAAAAAAGAACTATTTGATGAAATAAAATAATTCTTTTTATCTCCATATCATTATAGTATATTATTATACGAGCACATAAAGTGTGCGATTATGACACGAGGTGAAGTTTGCAACACGAGCCGAAGGCGAGTGTTGTAATTTTTCCGAGTGTCATAATCGCCTTTATATGCAAGTAAAATACGCTATTTTATCTACGACTATTTAATTAAATAGAAAATGCGGCATATGAATCAGTTTGAAAAGTAGCAACTTCATAGCGGTAGCGCAATGTACGCCTATGGTTTGGTTTGCGTTCGTTCATTCGTTGACGGTATTTAACCTCAAATCTAATTCAATGTATCGCAATGTACCTAAGTGGCGAACTAAATGTGTAATTTATCTTAAGTTCCCAGAAGTCATTAATTCAACACGTAATTACCTACACGTAAGATTATAGTTAATATAAATGGTTGTCATTCATTTTTCATTGTTTTAGATTGTGACATAACCTATGGAAATAAGGTGGATATTTATGTGATGTACCTATGTACAACTATTCTCTAAATCCGATCCCGATGTACCTATCAATTATGCCTGCACAAATTGTTACACAGCTGCCAAATGGAATACAATATTTTGTTTCGCATACATAATCTAAGTTTTCAAAGACTTATTTACGCTTTTCCGACCTGCATCCAAGAAGTTTCTTCCTCTTTTAGAAACGAAGTTTAAGCGATGAAAGCATAGTTTTATTGCAAATTTAAGGGCAAGAGGTGTTTTTTATTAGTTAACGTACATATTGTAGCCATCTATTTAAGTAATTTGGTCAATGCCTAGTATGTAAGACCTGTTACGAATTATCAATTCTTAAAATAAATCATGCAAAACTGTGGTTAAGTGCTACGACAATTTGTATCCTTTATTGTCAACGAGTTTACAATATGTTATTGTTTTGTATCGTGGCACAATTTCGACAATACCACATATATGTTGTACGAAACATATTTCTCTTCGTAAAAGGCTGAAACTTCAAATGAGGCTTCCGATAATCCATTATGCTACAAATAATGCCTTGTGAATATGAAGGTATAGATACTTTAAATACAAACGAAAACCTTATTCATGCTCATGCAGAATATTTGTATCAGCGAAGGTATCTGTCGTTAAGTAACGTTGCCTGAACTTGCCAATGACTTCAGGTATTTTACAAGTTTATTTCATCCCATTTTATAAATATCGCACATATCTCGTCATAGGGGTGGATCAAGTTCCTGTATTAATTGTTTTTCAAATAAACCTACAAGTTAAGCGAACGTAACCCGAAATCTCTCATTTCTAACCTAAGAAATGCTTAATTCAAAACAAAACTGACAGGTAGTACATACGAGATGGGCGGTTCTATTTTTAGTACATATGCAATTATGAACTTATACCTTACTTATACATATGCAATTATGAGAAATATATAGTGACATAAAGTAGTTGTATATAAGGATTTTAGAGGAACCGATAATAATGCATATCATAATTCGCTAAAATATAGTGACGTTATTTGAGCGTTATTTAATAGTCGTAGATAAAAATCTTTTTTATCTTGTTTATCACTTTAATAATACTACAATTAAAATTATCACAATATAGTAATCATTTTCCCGACGTTTATATCTAAATAACCACCCTCGTGACCACGTTTACAGGTTGTGAGATGGAGTAATACACTGCTTTATGTGAACCAAATAAAGGAAACGCAGGGTGCCATTTAATTTTGTCTCGGATAAATGAAAATGAAATTTATCAACCAAATAAAAATAATTAATTTGCAATATTATCAAGACAAAAAGAATGATTTAAATTTATCATTTAGATACAATAATTATTTAATTTAACATTACATGTTAAAACGACGTGCCATATTTTTTCTGTACATATTTGAAATTTGCGCTTTGCTGAAGATATCTCGTGTATTAAGTTTCAGTGGCGCCCCAAAGTGATCATGTGGCCATATCAGGTTAATACTTTCTTTAGATTCTCATTCTGATCATTCAAAATGCTACACCTCGTGCTATACGCAGAGGCACTGTAGAATCTCCCTGCCTTGCCTAACTGGATCAAAATTTATACCTACATATTTAGGTACCCTACTTACCTGTATTATACGAACTACGAAGTACCTAAATAATGACTTATTACCTGTATAGTGTGTTTGCTACAAATCAAACGGCTTCACACAAAAATGGGTATTGTTAGATACCTACATGAAATCGATCTTTCTAACCCAATACTGGTGCACGTATCACATTATATACGAATTGTCTAATTTTAATGCCTGTTCATTTTTAGTAATGCATTTAAGCTGGGGTGCAATAAAATAAAAATTCGATAAATGTGTTTTCTTTAGACTTACCATTTTAATCTCAAAATAAAAGTACATCCAAAAGTGAAAATTAAATCCCAAAATAAAAGTACATCCAAAAGTGAAAATTAGCACACCTTGCTTCACTGCACTACTTCACATGTATGTTCCTTCAGGCACGTTTCGCGGTATCACCTAACTTCTTTTTTGCATAAAGATAATTACAAATTCAGATTTGTATATAAATAAACAACAAAAAAACCATTACATCATCTACCAGTTTATTAATTGCGTATCCGCGTAAAAATTGCCGGGAAACTCGATAATGCAATTAATCTAACGTTGCGAAACGATTTTTATCACAGATAATGAAACTGAAACCCAGCGCAATCATTCTATCAACATAAAAGCGACTGCTACGTTACATTCAACAAGTGAATTTGTATATTTTGTAGCGCATTCTTTGCCTGATGGCCTCCCACCATAGGGTATCCAGCAGCTGCTGCTGGCTCTTTGTGCGGAAGGCCGGGTTTTACTTACCATCTGACAAAGCGCGATCTGTATTGAACACCGACAGACCCCTATAGACCTTGAACTTCGTCTCTAAAAATCGTCCTACAGTGTGCTTAGAGACGGAGAAAATTAGCGAAACTTATCTCATTATGCACAATTATAATTCAAATTATATAAATGCATGATGAGGTACTATTTTACATGTTCCAGGGACAAGGTAAATATTGTATAGTTTGGCTAAATTTAAGGGGGTTGCATGGTAACGGATTACATTTCATTTGTGCACTAAGCTATAGGGGTAGGAGCCGGGGTTGAAATACATATCTACGTAATTAGTCTATTATTATGATGAAGGTGATTTGTTTCAAAATATTATGCCTAACCATATTTGCAAAAATTCGGTAAGCCGCTTGTGGGCACGAGGCGAACTTTCAAATTTGTTTTTTTCGATTTTAATAGCCCTTATGGACATTTCATGCCTTAACAAGAATACAAACATGAAATAATTTTTGATCGAATGACACCAATTCAATACCAATTACCAAGTCCATAAGTGGTGTAGTTCCGGAGCCTTTGTGACTCAGACAGACAGACATACAAACAGACACCAAGAGCGCAAAAGTACACTTTTTATGTTTTGAAAGTGAACTGTGGAAGTGCACTAAGTAAACATTGATAAATAAAAGAAAAGGCACTGTTAAACGCTAACCAATGTTGGGGTGCAATCAACATACAGGGAGATTCAATTCGTCGTTAGTACTACCACAGATAAAATTGGGTATTTTATCTGTGTGAAATTGCATTCATTTATTCATTATCGGGTAGTACTAAAGATAGATCTAATCTAAAGAATTTGAAACCTTTTTTTTATAAAATTTTTTTTTGTACTTTATTGTTTGAGTTAACATAAACTTTGCAGGTTTTCTTGAGAATTTGCAAATGGAACCATATAATTATTATATGATATTATCAAATAAGACGAAAAAATGAAAATTCCTAAGAACTATGGCGAAAATACACACATTCACAAATTTAAATTGCAATTTTCATTCAAGTTGGCTTTGAAACAAAAGAAACATACTGCCACGACAAAATCTACTTAGTAGAGATCACAGTGGTATGTAGAGACTCTTTTTATCGAAAAAAATGGCAGCAATTTGAACATTTACGATAGTGATAATTATTGTTTCACTTATTATTAATTTATTTTATTTTTAGAACAGATGTACATTTTAATGAAGTGAGTGCCAGTTATATACGCTACGCCACTGCTTGGATGAATATAAGTATTGCAATTTAAATTTGTGAATGTGCGTATTTTCCCCTTATCTCTGCTTAGGAAACAAATATCAAAATGCGGTTTTCACTGATATTTTCATTTTTTCATCTTATTTGATAGTATCGTATAGTAATGATATGGATCCATTTGAAATTTTCAAGAAAACCTGCAAAATGAATGTTCATGTCAAACAGCGCCCTCTACAACTCATCACCTTTACCTCTGTAACGACTCCATTTATGTAAAATCTTATTACACGAAGATAGCTCTTTCCAATAGGACGTAATTTTATAGCACGACAAAATATTGTTAGGTAGGACCTTTACCTATAAATAATCCTTGCAGGATAATACACTAATTTATGTAAACCCTGCCCAAAAATTAAACTCCGTCACACTGGAACGACGGTACTGCATAGTAGGGACTTCTATTGTGCTTCCACTTTCACAATCTCTGCCCCTCTGTTTCGGAGATATTTAGAAAAGTTAAATGACGGGTAAGTGAAAGCTCAGCTCCCCTATGTATACTCAAAACTTATACAATTTTGTGTACAAATTGGGGAAGACGCCGGCCTTAAATAGATTTCAAAATATTTGGTTCGTTCTTTTTGCATTCGGTATCTTATACCTCTGTCCCCTCAACCAAGAAAAATCTTGACGAATAATATGCGCAGACTGCGCAATGCCATCTTTCTTATGTATAATATGTAGATATTTTTTTGTAATTTCAACCAAAGATTCTCCAGTAAAGACAAGCATATCGCATATTGTAAAAGTCAGATGCGCGCAGGCGCAAACATTTACACTTTTTTTCGCTTCGCTAGTATCGACGCTGTTATCACTTATCGCGGCTCCAAGATAAACGCACCCTAATTTATGACACGGCCGCCTATGATATCAGTCAACTGACATGCTTCAACTGCTGAACACACTGAACGTTTGTTTCACTTTGGCGTTTGGAAATCGGCAGATTATATTACCTCTGTTATTCTTGAATTTCCTTCGAAATAAAAAAAATCCAACGCACTCGCGGATGTAGAGGTAACGTTTTTTTTGCAAGTTTGTGACCTTCCCATTCCCCCCACGTCACGTTTAAATGGTCAGATTATAAAAATGCACACTTTTCAACACGTAGTCAACCAACTTTAATTTAGTTTGTGACCTTCCCACTCCCCCACGTCACGTTTAAATGGTCAGATTATAAAATTGCACACTTTTCAACACGTAGTCAACCAACTTTACTTTAATTTGGCGCGCTTCAGTAAATTCCAAAATATCCTATTGGGCTTCCCTACTATTGGTTAAGCGTTCACTGAGCCGCACCAAATATCTCTCAAACCAAAAGACACAAAAATGCAATTAAGCCCAATCTAATCGCGCATTACCGTCGTCTCAACATACAAGAGTGATTTTTCTAAATAATTTTGAAATCAGAAAGGTACCAACCGTAGAATTAGTTTTAATAGAAACTTGTGTAATAAAACATGTACATGTTACCTTGAAATAATCAATGTTATCAGTTATGTGTATCTGTATTGTTTCGTTTGCCAGCTAAACTACATGGTAACAGTTGCCTCCTACACGATTTCCCGAAAAAGAAACCTTATAGGGGGCCCTTTTAAGAGTATTTCCCGGTAGGAATTTACAAACCAATCCGGCCCTGAAAGTGGTGTAAAATTCACAAGATTGCGATACATGTACTTTTTTGCATGTTTATCGGGTGTATTTTAGGAAAATAGTACATTATATATCAAGGTAGAGAAGTCCACTATTATTGCCTGAGCACCAAGATTACATCTCGAGGCGCTTGCGCCGAGGGGTGTAAGGTGCGAAGGCAATAATAGACTTCTCTACCGTGGTATATATACTATTTTTTTCACTACTAGCACTTGAAATCCTCTAAATTAACATATTATATTGATAATAGAGTTAACGGTTGGACAGAATTGTTTGTTTCTTAATTTAACATGTCAATCAAGTACGTGAAGTACAAGTCAAACAGGCCGTATTTTGTTCTGTCATTGAGATTTTTCAAAGAGTAATTTCGTTCGAATTTTTTCAAAATGTGATCATTTTAGGTATGTAATTTCTCTGGAAATTGCGAATGGTGGCAATTATTCGTTTTAGAGAACTTGTCTAAACGTTCATTGAGCGAAATTTCGGGTTGTGTTTTCTAAAAGTGACAGCGTGACAGTTCTCATTATTGACTACTAGTTAATAATAAAAAATTATTAACCACTTTGAACAAATGCCGAGAAAGCCTACTTTACAAGTGGAAAAAAGGTTAATAATCATGTCATCAGACGCTAGTAGTGAAAAAAATCATTTTTCTACTTAATCATGAATCGTCCGCCGTCTAGCGACAAACCTAGAAACTTGAAAATAATTTCCAGCGTTTCCTCTTGGTATCTTTTGTTAAAATCTTTTTCCTGGCCTGTGGCCTTTATTAACACCCTGTACACTAGGGCCTGATTTGGCCCCATCGGGTGGTCACTAAATGAATACTAATTTTTTCTTTCTTTCTAAAGATTAGTTCAATCTTAACGTTTCATCATACATGAGATTTTTTTGGGTGGATTTCACCTCGTCGCACAGTCAGACATGAGTGCCAACTTTTTTGGTTTTTCGAGGGTGTTCACTTTAAACCTTAAACGACTATTTTGGTACGGTCGGAGCGGCTTCGCCCTCTTGGATGTTTGCTAAATCAATGCCATTTTTTTTGTGAATTAGGGGCGGATTTGACCTTCTCAGATTATTACTAAATGGATAACAATTTTTTAGTTGTACTAAAGATGAACGTTTTAACAAACATGAGACACTGAATGCCAATTTTATGAGTACGTACTGGCACAGCTTACCTACACTTAAGAGTAATCTGTGCCTACTGGCAAAGATCAATGTTAAGAGAATTTGAACTCTTCTTTTAATGGAGGTTAAACAAATGTTTTTATACATTGGGAGGGGTTTCACCCTTTGGGACGGCCGTTAACTGAATGCCAATTTTTGGCGCATTTTGCAACCACAGATACTTCTACATACTACAAACATATCGTATATAGTAAAAAAAAATGTGTGCGCATGCGCAGGCTGTGCAGTACCTACTAACTATATGTCTTTGAAATTTTAACCAAAGATGCTTTTAGTAAAAGCAAACGCCGCCGGATGCGCTCAGTCAAATGTCTTATTTATCGAGAGTAGAAGTTTCATCGAGAATGTCCTTTCAATTACATACGTTTCTAGGAATATTGCGAGTTAGGAAAATTTCTTTAGCTTAATTAATTTTTATTCTGTTTTGACGTCAAGCCTAACTTTATCATTTTTATATTTTCCCAATTTACAAGTGATTTTTAAAATTCAGTATTGATGATTGTTATGTATGATGGGTCGAGGTTTGTTTGTTTTATGTGGCGGCGTAATATTATGTTTGTCGTTTTTTTTTAAAAAAAACAGGAAGAAGGAGATTTATTTTATTATGGAAGTGGTGTTTCGTTAAATACTGAAAGCAGGTGGCTGGTTCGCGACGGTTATAAAGCGTACGCTATTTTTATTCGGGCGTTTCACCCTATATCGTTCATTGAAGACGCAGTTCGTCATTTTTTTTAATATTTCTGTACAGAAGACAGTTAACTGACGTTGTTACAAAGTTGTGAGTAGTTCAAATTTGATAAAAATAGTGTTCTAATGTTTCTAAAATATTTTTGATCACCAGGAGCGTGTTGTATGCCAGTGGCGTATTAAACTTGCATTTTTATTATGAAACACCCCATATTTTATTACTGATGTGGAGAGTACTTGAAAAGTACTTATTTTTTCATGTAACATGTTCTGCTAACTTTAACGTTTTCGCTGTTATAACCCTTTTTTTCGTCAAAATTTGAGTCCTTCGGAATTTTTTTTTAGAGAAACTAAATCGCGTAGGCGGCTAATTTTTGGGCTGAGAGGCACAGGTTAAGATCTTTACTCTCTCTACTCCCTACTTTATCGAAAAAATAAAATTTTTGATTGACCTTCTCTAAATGTCATATTTTTTAAAATTTTAAAATGGCACCTCCTTGGGCATCCCCCTAAACAAATTATACCGCTGGGTAGCCAAAAATACAAATTTTCCACTGATATAAACAAAACCACACGGGAGAACAGACTGAAGCCCAACTCATCATTGTAGGTGAGCCCCGGGACTGTAGTATCTCATTGGTAGTATTCAATTTGTCATTGTGTAGTAGATGGAGTTGGTCTGTTGAAATCTTTTCCATTTATGAAGAAGAGCAATAATTCAACAATTTCTTTCCAGTGACTATTTTTAGCGATGAGAAATGCTGTTACTGTGTATGTTGGTGTGTAAATGTATTGAAATGAAAGAAAAAACATTTACGCTTCACATACATTTATTTCAATTTATTGTAAGTACCTAATTATTGTCTCCTGTTATTGAAAATGCACTTCAACATACATATTGTAAACATAATAAATGGGATATATCAGAAGGCATTTAAGTACACAAATGTACAAATTTTAATAAAAAATAACAGAACAAAAATAAATGCCGTCTAATAAATTTTTAAACATATTACAATAACAGTTTTTCGCATTTTTTTTTATATAACTCTATAGAATCTAGAAGGTATACAAAAGCATTATAAAACAGATATATTCTATATATGCATGCTTAACATTACATTATTGTTAGTCACCATTGCTGATACGTTTAGTTTCAATACACATAATCACATTTTAGAATTTTTTACAAAGAATTATAACTAATATTAACATGGTGACGAAAATCGTAATTTGTGCAAAAATAATCAGATTTACTTCTGTAACAAAACTTAACTAACGTCTAACGTAATAAACAATTTAAAAAAAAGAAGTTAATAAAAGCGGGACAACGAAATTAGACAATATACATTATTAGCACCATTACTCATAATTATACACTTAAATGAAATGATAAGTATTAAAAAATAGCTTGTCACTATTTTACTTTGGAAAATTTGGTTGAATTATTCTACTTTTATCCTAAAATGGCACAAATGTTTCTGTACATGCAACAAGTAGTATGTATAACTAAATAGAAAAATGTAACATTGTGGGATCGTGGCAGTTTGATCATTGTAATACTGTATTTCACAAAGCCTTAAAATGTGCAAACAATAAGATATAAAACAAATACAGTTACTGTTGACCAATAATTTATCCTGTCAACAGCGGCTAAAATGAAGGATTTCCCACAAAAAAATGAACACAAATAAGAACACAAATGGAGAAAGATCTTAATTCCACTTTAAATGGACCGTAAAACCTTGTTTACAGTTTTTGAGTATTCATATACCTAATATAAATCATTTTCACCATCACCATATCCGCTGAAACAAAAAAAATATGTTACAAAGAGGAAGATGAAAAATGTGGGTTTAACGTCTTACCTCCATTCTTACATCCATTGCAGTTTATAATACAATACAAAGCATCAGTCTATTATTAATGTTATATTACTCTATAATATCTTACATTAGTAGGGATAAAGGGGAAAGGGAGTGCACTGGTTTTTTATGGTCAGCCAGCTTTAAGGTACCGTTTGCATTTATTATACTCTTATCAAAATTGCTTTAGCTACTTACGAAAGATATATACATTTATGATATTTTGTTCCTTTAGGACGTATTATACTCTGTATATTTAAATAATAGTTTCTACAAAAATTTAATACAAACTGTCGAAATAACTATATACAATATATGCAAACAAGTACTATAAAATACGTAATCATATGTAATAGGTTGAACCGATTTAGCTAAACTAATTGGTTTAGGATGGATTATATTTACTGGAGGGGGTTGGACGAATTCATCGAATTGATCTGAATCCGAGAATATTAAGGAGGACGGAATCCAATGCAGCCTTAAGAATGCACAGAACATTGTTATAAATGCTTTAATGATAATATGTTGGAAGGATAAAAAAAAGCTCCTAACTGTAAGTAACTGGAAAAACCGTTCGGAGCTTTTTTCAAATAGGTATAATTTCAAAGAGAAAGTAATTTCATATTACCTTGAGCAGGGTTTAACATTTACGCCGGACACAGCTTTAGCACCAATATCCAACATTCTTGAATCTTGCACTTCGAATCCATATATACAACCACTAAAGCCTTGTGAGTAACGACCACCAGTCATGAAAGTGTTGTTCGGTGTACCACCTAAATCGTGCCCACCCATGTAGATTCCATAATTGATAACGCGTTCAATACTTACCTAAATATATATTTCCATTGCAATTCATTTCGTAGATATACCCATCCGCATTTCCTTCGACTATGTGATCGTTATCTACTTCAATGGATCCCCATCTGCCTCGTCTCTTCAAAATGACGCGATGCCTTTCTCCGTCATTTATTCTTACTTCGTTGTTATAGATGATGGCGGGACCAGAGCCCAACTCAAAACTGTATTCCAGGTAGCCACCCACAACTAAAAACAATCTCGTGAATTGCCACTGTGGATGGTTGCCAAAGTACCTGCTAGCGAAATGTAATCTTTTCCTCTACCGTCTTCCGTTGGACGTTGTCCGTGCCAAAATATTAGTCCGTTGCTAGCGTTTGTAGACAGTTCAAAGGCGATTACTTCGTTTTCATCGATATTTTTGTGGTTGAGTAAACCTCTGTTTAATTCTACATATCCGTTGCCATTAAAGTTAACTTCGTTTCGTATATCGGCGCCTGCAAAGTAATTCGATTAGATTACGCAAATGTGACACTGCTACTTACGTTGTTCGCAGTTGGTGCCAGTGTATCCCATTGGACATCCGCACGAATACGTGGATGTATTTCCATGGCACGATCCGCCGTTTAGACACGGTCGTAAGTGGTCACATAGATTTGGGGCAATCTCGCAATTACGGCCGCTACAATGAATGTTAGTAAATGCAATTCATTTTTTGGAATTACCTGTAACCGTGGACACAGTTGCATTGGTAGTCTACTGGTGACAGTGGATAACATTGTCCGTCATTTCTGCACGGATTGCTTGAACAGCCGGTTTGTCTTGCATTGTACGGTTTTGGTAAATATCCTTGATGGGGCCGAATATCATTATCGTTCTTTTGTACAGGTGATGCACTACAATCCTCTATGTTAGCAGATTCGGAAACGGACTGAATAATGTTCAAATCTAATCCTGACACGCTAATCTATAAAATAAAAGAATTAGTATAGGGTTTTTGGACTGGTCCGGACAAACCTCTGAAATACATCCATCAAACCCAGCATCAACACCAACGCCATGATTTAAGTGAACCTTCTGTTTGTCAATTCCGCCAACGTACAGAGACGTTTGCAAGTTAAGAGCCTTGTGGTTACCTGGAACTCGCTGTGTCACTGGCGCGTCTCCATTTACCAACAGTCTGCCTTCATTCAAAAATTTACTAGCCGTAACCGCAATCCATTCACCGGGCTGAACTTCGCGATCACTTCGGATGACCACTGGATCTAAACACAAGGCGTAGAGCTTAAAGGTTTACTATTTTCAAAACCTACCACTGCCAACATCAAATCGGAACTCAACATGGCGATCCTTGATCGACAAACTGGCAAAATCGCCGTGACCTTCCTCGCTTTCAGCGCAGTATAGCAAAATTCCATCCCTTAAATCTCTGGCTTTAAATTTCAAAGATACCTTTAATCTGCGCTGAGGGCGAGGTGTGGGGTACGCAATGTAGGCATCTTTAGAAAACGCTGGTTCGTAAACGGAAATTTCCTGCTCGCATCTACGTCCCGCTCGTCCAAGTGGGCATAAGCATTTGAAGTTGTTTTCAGTATCGATACATCTGCCTGGTCCGCAAGCGTATGGTGTGCAAGCTTCGCCTCCATGCTTGTTGCACGTAGGTCCACTATATCCAGTTTGGCACAAGCAAGTGTATCCTTCCGCGGTTAAAGCTTCCTGGCAAACTCCCTGATTGTGACAGGGATTTTCAGAGCAAGTCTCGCATGTTGTTATTCCGTCCTTGTTGATGGCATCGCGAATAATGTCTTGGTGCGCGTGGCCGATTTTCAAGCGACTAATGCAACCTAAAATGCAACCCTTTGTGGAACCTCCCTAAAAAACGACATCCCAACATACCCACAAATCCGGATTCAATTTGAAGTTCGGCTGGAACGTCTCTAAAGTTGGGAACACCTCCAATGTATAACGGCTCGTTCAAATCTAAACCGACAAACTTTCCATCGGTAACGCCTGTGAATGGACCTTTTCCGTCCACGTACATGGTACCGCGTTTTCTGTTTCGTGATACTTTAATAGAATGCCATTGCCCTAATTGAATGGGGCTATTGGCTCTGACGGTGGTAACGCCTTGGCCAAGGTTGAAGTAGAATGTAGGAACGCCGTTCACTAAAGCCAATGCGATGAAATCAGTTTTGGAAGACGATTTCTTGTGGCCGTTGAACAAAATTAAACCATCTTGCACTTCCGGTTTGAACGAAACTTCAATTGTAAATTGGATGTAAGCATCTGGGAGTGTAGGAAGAGCGATGAAACTGTTGGGAGCTTGTGCGAAATACGGCACTATGCCTGTTACAACAAGAATCGTTGGGATGTCAATGCTTGTGTGGCTGTTGCTGGCAGTGCAAACGTAGGTACCGGCATCCGTTCCTTTCACTTCGTCAATTTGGATGGTGCGCTGTAACATTGTTAAATCAGCCATTAGAGTTGCACCGTGCAACCCGCTTACACTATGTGGACTAATGTCCCGGTGCAGTACGCCTCCAGGTTTGCTCCATTGATACATGACAGGTTGCTGTAGATCCGTACGGCACTCCATTACTATAGACGATCCTTGTGGAGCGGTTTTTGTTTCAATCGGTTGCTCTCCTTGTACATTTTCGTAATGGGGATCTAACAAATATTACGATTATTTGGAAATGACTGGCTGATTTCTACCTATGACTTCGAAAACGTAATCTTTGCTATACACCCCTTGACTGCCACGTGCTTCGCATCTATACGTTCCGGCATTTTCACGTATTGCAGATGAGAATCGCAAAGTTCCGCCGCTCGTTTGGATGTTATCCTCAAACCTACCATTCACCTTGGACCATGAAGTTATAACGCCAGGTTCGTTTGATCGACAGTACAAATCGACAGTATCTCCGATGCGACAAGTCGGGGATGATGATTGAATATCCAGCAATGGTGAACCTCCGCTTGAGGACGATGATGAAAACCGATCGTCGGTCGCTTGGTCTAATAAAAAATAAGCAGTGTATTATTTTGAGTGGGTGCAGATTTGACTACATTTGAAAGTTAAAAGCTGCGAAGAAACATGATCACAAAAAAGAACATAAAAAGCATAGGTACAAATCTGAAATTAAAATAAAAATTTAGTAGTTATTGTCTGTTAATGAAGATAACAATTGATGCTAAACGCACTATTTAGTTTAGTCGATAGAGGTTTGCTGTGCAAAATGTCGACTAGTTCTGATTTTTAAATGTGAAGAAGAGCAATTGTCATTGTCAATAAATAAATTTATATGCGGAGATATAGAAGTTACAGGTAATAAGGCTCGAAGATTGGGAAAAAGTGCGGCGCATTGCACGGCACCATATTCAAAAATCAAAACTACCCGATCTTTTGCCTACCAAAATATGTCTGGACTACTTGACGTTAGCCTTAGCAACTTCCCTCATAGACAAACGGTTCAGTACATTTAATTTATGCAGGTGTTATTTTCAATCTGCTCCACGTAGAGGCAGCCGTTATTAAATAGATCAGACAAGATTAAAATCAATGCAAAAAGAACGCACGAGTTTCACCCGTTACAAATAGTTTTATTTTTATCATATAAAAATTTATTTTCAACAAAAATTTTTCTAGATAACCCAATTTCACAATTCACAAAAGTCTTGAAAATTAGATGAGAAATACGACGCTCTTCTTCGAGCTTACAGATTAAATACCGTAACAATTCTGTATTGCTCAACAGCAAAAATACGAAGTTGTATGGTCGCTCTAACTTACAAATAACACCTGCGTGAAGATAGCTACCGAAGATAGCGACCGTTTCTACGAAGATGATCAAATACCACAGAAATACTAAAAAAATGTAGATTGCGTCCACCTTTACAAACAAGCAATGCGCGAGTAGTATAGACGCAATGTAAATTTCCCTATGGCCCATTTTAAATAACTCAACGCCTTTACATTGTCGTATGGCCAATGTTAAAAAAAACACCGAGTATATACAATAAACAGATGCAGAAATAATTTCGTATTCGATTTATAAACACTTTGGGGGTAGATTTCTATGTGACGCAAGGGGTTGCAAGAAATTATTTTTGCATTTGTTTATTTGATATGTACAGCAGTATTTTTCTGCACAAACTAGAAAGTACTACATTTTTTTGTGTTTCTGTGGTATTCGAGCATCTTCGGAGAAACGGTCGCTATCTTTGGTTGCTGTCTTCACGCAGGTCAAAAAAACACCGCTCCCCTTCACTTTATTAAGTGACCCAGGTTACGGTACGGTATTGAAATCCATGCGTTCTTTTTTGCGCCACAGTGTAAAGATTAACACAGAGGTATGCAACAATTACTTTTAAAGAACAATTTGGTTCACCTTTGCGTTTGTACAGTACCTAGGCGCATTGAGGTATAAAGAGAAAAGAGATGTAAATAAATCAGATTGAACTGGGATATAGAAAACTGCCCCAATACTGATTTTAAGAGAGCATTAAAGCCATAAAGGAGAGGGGGGACTTTACTTGCGCCTCTCCGTTTTAATTTTTGATATGTGAAAAACGATGGCGGATATCTTGATTTCATTAGCGCATAATGGGTATTCACCCCCCACAAATTACAAAAGCTTCAATGAACCAAATCTTTTCTCCCCTTAGAGAGTAGAAAAAATACCCAACATTGCCTCGGTAGTATAGAGGGAAGTAATTTGAGAGTACAAGTATATTGTTACTTCCAATTACTTTTCCCTCACTACGATCTCCTGGGAATTCCCCCTTAAATAATAAAAAAAAATGTCACTTGCTCTCCTTCGAGTTATAAAGTTAATCAAATAATGCAGCTTATGCTAAAATTTCAGTAAGATAACGAAAGCCCGTAATTAGTATACACACAATTACAGTGCTGTTGTACGTACCAGGAAACGTGGCAGATCAAATACCATAAGTAAGTAAAGACATTTGAAAAGAAATTTATCTACTGCACTTTTCTCTATTTTGTAAAACAAGAGAAATGGGGAGGGTAAAAAAATGGTTTTATGAATTTCTTTTCCAAAAATTTGAAGAGAACGACACGTCTACCTCCATTTATGATAATTAAAGTCTTAAAGAAGTGTATTTAGCACTTTAAATATTTAGTACTACACCACTATCCCAAGTTATAAGTGAAATGTACTCAAAGGGTAGTTTAAGAGCTGCAGTTCAAGTATAATTAAGTTTTTTGTACTGGGAGTAAATTACTCAACTATTTATATTAAGCTCCATTGGTATTAAGTACAAAGCACCGCACACAAAGTAAAATATTTCATGTTATCAAGCAATTCGGCTGGAAGTACACTTGTACACATAGGCCACCACGTTGTAATGAACGACATGTAGAGCTAGACAGTGTAAAATAAGAAGAACAAACCCCGCCGCCTTCTTCCTAAACAATACAGCTCATCTGTTCTATCTCGACAGTCGTATTTCCGATCGCATCGTCGACGTTCACTTATACACTGACCGTCATCACATCTCCATTCAAATCGTGAACATCTCTGTGTAATTTCTGTGTACATGCAATGTCAAACTCAAAAAATTAAGTCAAAAACACTGGAAGCAAAAATTTGTTTCATCGATAGTACTTACGTTGAACGTGAACGTCAATGTAATCGCTCGCAGTTCCACCTTCGGCTGCTACCTCGCAGAAGTATCTACCTCCATCCTCCTGTCGGACGTTCACAATTTGTAGATAGTCTCCATTCACATGCGAGTTGGGCGATAGAGGCAGGTGCTCTCTAAACCACCGGATTGAGGATGGGGGTTGCTCTTGGCCTCCACGAACCACACAATGTAAGGTGATTGAAGTTCCCACTGCCGCAACTTGTTGCCTATTTTCTGCAGTGATTGTAGTCGTCTGTTGATGGTAATCTAACAACAGCCAGAGTGAGTGAGCCGGATCATGTTAACAAAGGGGATACCTTGTACAACTACATCAGCAACTGCGTCAGCTTCTCCTGCGGAATTAATTGCCGTACACCTATAGCGACCTGCGTCTGATATTTGAATTCCGATAAATCGAAGATTGCCACCTTCGGCGGAGCCGCTCGCGGGCATTTCTCGTCCGACAGGCGTCCAGGTTATGGAGATTGGCTGTTGTCCAGTTGCAGCGCATTCGATGTGTGCGTTGTCTCCAGGGCGTACGACTTGTTTTGGTGGGTGTAAAGTTATTCTTGGAGGCGCTACGAAGGTAGTTTATTGTATGTAGTTGTGGCATCATTTTATAACGAAAAGACTAATACTTTGAAAGAATCGAATGATACATGCATGTGATTTAAAATCATATAAAATGTGAAGCAATGTCAAATTAGGTCCAGTTGTCACAAAATGGAGTTAGTTGGTTCTCCGTATGTTGGTGCATAGTGACCCCAGTTTCATTCCAATGTTTTCATGCAATGGAAGTACCCCCTTCAAAATGTTTGAATTGATGATGAAACCGAAAAATACTATTTCTTTATCCAGTCGTTCAAAAATCAATGATATCTTCGCTAAAATTAAAATTTTGCCTATACTTTGGCAATACTTTTCATTTTTAAACACTATCATATGCCAAAAAGGTCTAGATATATTGTAAATTGAAAATCCTTATTTCTGATAAAGCGAAGTACACTGAATGTTAACATACCGTTTTCAGATCCCTATGTTCAAAAAATGCACCCTCCGTTCCGGTTGTTAAAATTCTTTGAAAACGGTACCCTAACGTTACATATGTGGTATCTAAACTGGTACTATTATGATAAATCGCGGAATACGATATATGGAATATAATATGGTATATTATATATGCCGGACAGGAATATGAAGAACGTACAACAAAAAGAATGATGGCTAAGGATGTAAGAGCGGCTGGTAGCTGTGGACAGTGATACACAAGTAATCTTTATGGTGAAAAATAAAAGGTTCTGGGGTTTTATCACCTAGTCAACTGCCCGTAACCGTTTTGTTGTGATAAGGAATCGGAATGTTGCTTCAAAACAATTAACTAACACCTAAAGCCGATCACAGTCTACCTAATTTGACACTGTGTCGAATGAAGTACAAGAATGCAAGCAGTAACACCGATGAAAACACAGTACCTCTTAGTGCACATATGTCTTCCTCGGCTGAATGAAACAAAAATTAATCTAAATAATAATCAAATCACTCGACTAGATTCAGAAGAGAGGTCATCTAAACGTACAACATTGTAAAAACATGTCTACTTACACACTACGACTAAGTGTGCACTGAAACTGAACACAATAGCACCCGATGGATGAACTCCGAGGCATCGATACTCTCCACCGTCGGTCGGCTGAACATTGTCAATGAACAATGTGCCACCTCTCACGACGGAATTTTCGGGCAACGTCGAGTTTTCGCCACGTACCCAATTAACATACAATGGATCTGAACCGGCTGAAAGTTAAGGAGTATTCAGCATCTTTGCTAGAACTTGGGGTGCAAACCGGTACCTTGTGTTTTTGTTTGACAGCGAAGCTCCGCACGTGTTCCAACGGGCGCAGTAAACGTTTTATCTCCATACGTAGGGATATGTTCGTTATCCTTATATGGTACTCGTGGCGTAACGTAAGGAGGGTACTGTGTTACTTCATTACCCGCGTTACCTGCGCTACCATCTTCACCTAGATTTCAATTAAAGATAGTATTGGTGTGGCTGTACAGTCAAACTTTAAAGTTAAAAGACAGACTTTTAAGTTTAAAATCCAATAAGTGAGGGTTAGAGGTGATTACAGATTAAAGTCAATTAGCTTTATTAGTAATAAAAGCGATTTCCTTTAAAAATTAGTCGCTAATTAGTACCTAGGTACCCAAATTGTAGAAACTAAAGGATTCAAATAAAGCATAGCACTGGAGAAAAGTAAATGGATATTATCAGTTCGATTTTGAGCTGAATGAAATAGTGAAAATTGTAGCAGAAAAGCTAATGACCTTTCAATATAAACTTATACAGAAAGGTACTTACTTTGGCTTATGCGGTTCAGTAGTCGCGAAAAAATACGAAACTATACATATACGTCAATAGTTTGTGAACCAATTTCCATCTATTTCATATAGTCTCTCGCTCATGTGTTGACATGTGCTAGAGAATAAAGAACCCGTTTGAAATTGGTTCACAAACTATAGTGACGTAGGGCTCTCCTTTCGTGAATGCAACTGTAACCCAAATTTTGTAGTGGTAATTATCAACTAGTTTTATTTAGCTGATTGGTGGACACTCAATTTGGATTTTACTTATAATAGGGGGTTCAAGTTCTCCTCTTTGAGTAGTTCAAATTATGTAGTACTTCGTTCGCAGTATGAAACTCATACATTTTTTAAAGCTGAAAAGTATAAGACGCTGCCTTTGGATTGGTCTAAGAAAGGTCGAATTTTGGATTGCCTTAAGGGAGGACAATTGAACATATCTCGTTTGGGAGTTATTTAGATATGTAACAGCTAACATTATTCTCTGAAATAGCATCGTTGTAGTTTTATACCTGCTTTTTTAAAATCTTATTAAAATGCAAAAATTTGGTGGCAAAAGAAATGAAAACAAACATTTTTTTTCCAAATATCAAGCTGAAGGATCAGAACGTTTCATTCGGGGGATGCACTTCCAAAGGCCCGAAATTTGTGTTTGCACGACGTTACCTAAGTTTTTGGGTACCTATGCGCTGTACGGTTTTCCTGTCAGAGTTTAATTTTGCAAAAAAATGTTACAGGGTTGGATAAAGAATTGAAAGACCTTTGCCATTAGAGTTGTAGTGGGGAGTGGGTGATTGACAAGGGGTTCTCCCGCTCTGAAATCCAACGTTGATGTGTTTCGCGATTTTGTATAGTCTCAAATACCAACTGATTGATTCAGGGTGGCTCTTGCACCTATAAGAAATTTGATAGGTATTAAATTTGGGATTTAACTCCCTTGAAAGACTTCTCAGGCCTCGAGTTTGAATCTGCATACAATCGGAAGTAAACGATCTTGCGTTTCTCGTACAATTTAGTTCATCTATTAATTGGAGTATTAATAAACTTGTAACAAATATAGCAAAGGAGCTTCAGAGTCACTGAAAATTTCATCAGTTTTTCCTTGAGTGATGTTGAACATAATACTGAAACAGAATTGAAAAATTCGAAACCGTTCGCGAGTTATCATGTACACAGGCGGACGGACGGACAGAAATCATGAACTTTCTTAGGAGCTCGTTAGTAAGCTTTGATCCTGGCTTTGATGATAACTTACGTAACGCAGATGGGGAAAACCACCTCCCATATGTTATGTTGTGCGATTTGAGAAAAATGCAATGCATCTGTTAGCAAAGGAGAGCTTTCCTGTTAATTTTTCCGAAACCGGCGAAAGAGTTCTCAATAACTTTTGTAAAAAAAAAGGACTAAGAAAACAGGTTCTTTAGGACCAGTAGGCCATAATGACGCTACTCTACTCATTTTCCATAAGTACCGATTTCCCACAAAACAATATTCCTCCAAAATGGACAAATGGAAAATTCACTGTGTCAAGTGTAATGTGAACAATCTGTACACAGGGCGTCGAAAGTGGAATGAGCAGTGAGTTTTTCCGTCGCAGATATCTTCTATTGGTGACATTGTTTGATATAGGTACTAAAAGGTTTTGACTTGAAAGGGTTATGTGAAAACCACCACCTTGAAAAATGGGTTTCGTCCTATATGCGCAGAGTTTTTTTTCTTAAAAAAAACGTTCTTGCACGTATCTTGAACAGTATTTTATAGAAAGCGTATGAAATGTTCAATATCGGTTTTGTTCCTACGGTTTACTGGTGATTTCTCTCATTTTTCTTGAAAAACTTCACTCCTATGTAATTTTCAAAGTATCAAATATCCCATTAAAACCAATCCATAGGTAGTGCAAGAGGAGACACTGTTTTAACTGCATAAGTACCTACATAACTTGATTCAGAAATCAAAGCAGGCTCAATGATATAGGTAGTACCTACAATTAATTTTTTATCTCTCAACATTGATTTTTCTTTGAATATTGTAAATTGGTTCTTCAACAAGAGCTGTAACACTGATTCAGTGTTTCAATACCTTTAGAATACCATGCCATGAGTATGTCATTTCATTGTACAAATAATTAGACATTTATTCCAAAGACATTTTGTGAGATGAGCTTTAATACCTTTCAATGCGTTGGCTTTCTGGGTAAGTTTACATGGAAAGAAGGGCGAATTTGCACTTTCTTAAGTAGAAGATTGAAATTTTAATGATGGGCGAGGTAAAAAGGTGTTACAGTAGAACCTATTTAATCTAATTTTAAACATGTTAATAATTTGGTTAGACTTACCTGGCCTTACTGTATTCCCAATTAGTACGAAGCACAAATGAAATTAAAACAAAACACATTAATAAATCGTGGTCACAAAACAATATACATTTTGAATAAAATATGATTTTAGTAGTGGCTTTTAACACTAGCTGATGTAAGCAGCAACAATGGGTTTCTTGGAAAATACGAGGAAGCTGTCGCACCTCAAAATTAAAAAAAACGAAACCCTTGTTAATCATATTTACAATGGAAAACTAAGCACAAAGCTAAAAATGACGTACCTGTAATATCACCTCGTTCTGGTACCGAGTCAACCACAAGACTGACTCGTTCCTCAGCAGTTCCTGCGCTATTTTGACCTTGACAAACGTAATATCCTTGATCGCTGCTGGTTACTCTAGTTATTTCATATACAGCGACATTGGGTACTAATCCACTCAAAGGACTTGCGTGACTAATGAAAACTATTAACTGGGAGCAATATTCACAACTATACGTACGATTCTTGAGCCGCACCACTGTAGGAAACGAACTGCTTCGACCACTGTACTGTAGGTTGAGGTACTCCTGTCGCTCTACACTCCAAACGAACATATTCACCTTCGCGAACATTTAAAATGCCACTACGCGGCGAGATCGTTAATGACGGTTGCGTGTGAACCTCAAGGTGTCCAATGGCTGTTGTTTTTCCGGCCGTGTTCTCCGCAGTGCACATATACTCACCTGCTTCCACCAAGCTGATTGAAGTAAATCTAAAGACGACCTATGTATCTGACTATCACAATGAAAACCAGAATATTACCTCAAAACCCCATTTGAAAGCTGCTCAATAGTGTTGCTCAAAGGTTGTCCGTTAGGTCTGCTCCAGTGCACGCTAGGTTGTGGACTTCCGGTAATAATACGACATTGCATAATAAGACTTCCGCCTGCTGTCACAGTCAGTGCCTTACTGGGATGAATTTCGATTACAGGAGCTTCCCTTCCTAAAATAACTGGAATTATCACATCTTTGCGTCAGTTTCGTAACATACGTTCCACTTCGATGATTGAAGAACTTTGAGCGACGCCATTTCTGTTACTTGCCACGCAAACGTATACACCACGATCACGGATCTGCACGTTTTGGATTTTCAGTACGGATCCTATTTGCTGAGCGTTGGGACCTAAAGGATCAGTAACTCGTGTCCACTGAATGGTAGGTGCAGGAACTCCAGTTGCTTCGCAGCGAAGTTCTATCGTTGAGCCTTGATCCACGGTTACTTGGGTCGGGTCCACACTTACTTTCGGATATTCCCTACAACATTTGAAATAAACGTCATGGCAATTGAGAATGCTAACCTACCCAGATTCTTCAGCAGAAATCGATACGTAAGCGGTTCCGTTGCCCCGAGTAGTTTGCGCTGTAACACTACAAACGTAAGTTCCGCTATCTTCAAGTTTCGCATCATAAACAGTTAGAACTCGTTCATCTTCGCTACGCGATGAGCTGTACGGGAGCGGTTGTCCGTCTTCTCTAGACCAAACCATCGAACGCCATGGTCGTGGGGCATCGCAAGTTAAACTAAACGTCTCCCTGATTTTACCATAATATTGCGCGGGCGTGATGGTAACTTTAATCGCTGGTTCGGGACTTTGCTGAAAGACTTGAATATACACGGTACTACCCTGTACACCTGCAGAATTCGTAGCGACACACTCGTACTGTCCTTCGTCCGATTTTTGAGCGTAAGGTATGCGGAAGACTCCGTTAATAAACGAATGCTGTCAATAATTTAATGTAGGAAACGTGCAACGCCGGTTCACGACTTACTCTTTCATTCATTTGGGGCCTGTCAACTCGTCGCCACTGTAACGACGGTGCCGGATTTCCTCTGGCCACGCAATGTACTTCAATCTGTTGATTTTCTTGGACTTGTATGTAGCTTGGTGTAATGGAGACAGTGGGAGGCACAGCGGGATTAGCTGAACAAAAAAACCTTGTAAACACTAGTCAACCATGGTTTCAAGTTAAAGTTACCTGGTGCAGCCAGTGCATTTTTTAATGACACTGAGCAGCATAATAATTGTTAATACGTAATTAGTATTTGGAATTGAATAAACATAAAGAAACTTACGTGGTCCCACAGTTACAGTTGTGTATTGCGTTACGATTACAAATCCGTCAGATGCCTGACAAACGTAGTTGCCGGAATCGGATACTACAACATCGGTGATAACCAAAATACCTCTACCATCGTCGATGGCGTGATTTGGAGCTAAGTGTCCTCCATCCTTGTACCATTTCAGTTGTACTGGTGACTAGAAAATGGACAAATTTTTCTTAATTTTTAGGTTTTTTTAAAGACTGAATACATTGATATAAGGAGGGAATACCCTGTAATTTTTTGTACCATGATGTTATTAAGAGAAATCGTTCTGTATCGTTTAGACTTTAACGGAGAACATGCCATTCACTCTGTTTGAGTGTGTCGATTGATATTATAAGTAAATTATACATAGACGTATAGTCCAGGAAACGAAACTTGGAAAGTTAAAATAGTATAAAACCTGGTAACTTTTTCAAAATGAATCGATTTGCATCAAAATTTTAAAATCTATATTATTCCGATGGCCGCTCTTAATTTTTTGAGGGTGAAAACTACCCCTCTTTGCCAAATCCCATAAAATTACATTAATGTGAGTAAAATTTGGTTCAGATAAGTTGAGTAATGATGGTTAGAGGCCTTAGAACATTATTTCAGAATATTTGAACCCTTAAAAAATCAACCTTTACAGTGGTGTAATACAAAAAAAGTATTTACCCTCAAAAAGTTAATAATTTTTTATTGACGACAGTTACCCAGTGTGCATTTCGAACAAAGTATCGTGTTCAAACCTCCTGGTAGATGGTGTATCAAACGTTGATATAAACATTAAACAGTTCATAGAGCAGGAATGTTTCTGTGTTTGTGCAAAGAAAAAGGTTCCGAGCAGTCGCGCACGTATAATCATATCCATGTATCTCGAGTGGGGTTATGTTGAACATCTGCGAACCTATTTTATAGTGGAAAAACTTTAATACTCTTCATTTTGATATAACCCATGGCTCTTTTGTTCCTTTAATTAAAATTCAGATTTTCAAGGTGGTGATATTCGTTTTGAATAGCCCTGTATATACATTACATAGTGTATAGATATGTCTAATGTGTAGTATAAGAAATACATATACATATACCGGTAGATGTAGATCATCATACCCCGATTTGTGTTTTCAGAATTTTTCGAAAAAAATTTCATAACTCCTTTATTTGTTATGATAGAAAGTGCATTTGTATCATTTCGTAGGTTTTTACAAGAGCTACAAGGCTATTGCATCAAATCCCTTTAAAACTCTTAGTTTTAAAATGGGGTGACCTTAAAGGATTTAAACAAGGTAGTTTTTTTTTAAATTCTTTCAAGAATATTCTACGAGTTTTATCGAAAAATGCATAGTTTTGCCGTTATTTGCCTGTGAAACTCTAATTTAGCGTTTGACGAACAAGAGCTAACCTTTAACAAGCCAGAACTCGGTTGGTATTGATCACACAGCAATTATTAAGACAACATTTTCTTTATAATGCATACTTTTCGAGTTATTCGCGAATAACTAATTAAAAACATGAGCTTTTCTATGAAAAACTCGCGAATACCTGGAGAAGTATTAACTTATCAAAAAAATGTATAGAACACTTTTCGCTTAGAATTAATTTTTCTATCTACTCGTGTGTTAAAATTACAACAAAAATTGCCACCCCTGAGATGGAGTGGCAACCATCCCCAGGGTGAAAACCCCTTCTGGCATGATATAGATTTTGGTCCTATTCCCTACCTACCGTTAAATTTCAAGTCAATCGATTCATTTTGAAAACATTGCCAGGGCAAAACCTTCATTTCCTGTACTATTATAATAGTACGAGTGTTTTTGAGAAAGTTCTAAATTTTAAGTTGGTTTGGAATCGCACTTGGAAATAGAGGGACAATAGAGAAATTTTGAGAAATATTGGATTCATATAATTAACTTAAAAATAATTTAATCAATACGGTAACTACTCAAAAGTACATTGTGAGAGCGTTTTTTGTGAAGTTAGGTACTTAGTTTTTTATCATGGAAATTTCGATCTGGTAGTCTTTCCCGTAGGCTTAAAATTATTTCGTTTGGTTCTTATTTTTTTTGCAGATATTTGTTTATTCTGATATCTGAGATGTTTTTCCCGTGTAGGGTCGGGAAAGAATAACTCTACCGCAGAGGGCACTGCGTGTCGTAAGAGGCGACTAAACAACTGCTGGTCGGAAGCAACCCTGAGTGATTGAAGGGTTAAATAACTGCGATATTTTAATTAACGTATGTAGTAGCAAGGGGTTTGGGTCGAGAAATGCTCATATTTCTCCAAATGCTACTTTCAGGTTTTTTTTGTTACTGCTGTTGGAGTGAAAGTGGAGTCACATTTTCTGAGAGTGCTAACTGCTATTATACGTATATGCTATTTCGATCAGGTATGACCTTCAAAGATGTCGCCTCAAGGCAATCTGTAGCTACGTCATTTTGGGATAAGTTATAAGTAAGTATAAAGTTAGAAGACTTTCTAGGCATTCTAGCATTTTCCGCGCCCTAAGCTTAAAAAAATTCATTGTGGATTCTTGTTTTTTTTTCGTTTCAATTTAATTATTTAAACATTCGTTACATTACGCAATTTAAAATTTTAAAAGGGATGAAAAATTAGTGACAAATTTCCGAAAATTCAACAGATTAGAAAATTGATTTTTTCCGGTATGAATTTCAAAAACAAAGTGCCACAGTTGCCATTTATCTAACAAATTGTTCACTTTTCTGATGGTGGAGTAGTATTATCCCGATTCTAAGTGAGTTTCATTGGTGGGGAATTTTGATATAACATAAACGTTTGGGAAAAAAAAGATTCGAAGGTCATTACATTGCGATTGTAAACGAGCACATCTACTTACAGACGAGGATGATGAGCTCGCCGAACAATAGAGCCGTACGGTTTGGCCAACCTCGACAATCTTTATTTGCGGGCCTTCGATCTCGACGACAATAACTGGTGGTGGCGGAGGGGTATAAATTGTTTCTGTCGTGGTAGTTATTTGCTCTAAAAACATTGATGTTGCAGTAATTCTCTAAGCCTAAAACTGTACTTACCAATTGAAGAGCATGTAGGTCCGGTATATCCAGGCAGGCAGTGACATACGACGCGGTTATCTGGACCTAAATTACAACTTTCCTCGTTTCCACTGCACGGGCATTTCGTGCAGGATCCCAGCGGTCCCGCTTGCAAATCGTTAATATCCCTATAGTACCCAGGCGCGCACAACTCGCACGAAGTTCCTCTGTAGCCCTAAATTTGCACGTCATACTATGCTACGGCGTTCGACCATAATACTTACAGGAGGGCATCTACAAACTTCCACATCCCTCGCTTTAGGTTGTCCGGTGTATTGTTCGACGGCGGTATCTAGAGCTATATCGCTAATATAGGAAGCTGTGGTATAAGGAGACAGAGTAGCTCGCACAAGAATTTCAGTAATGTGAGCAAGAACGGTTAAAATGTCTGCACGTGAGGCAGGTTGAGGTCCGCTTCGCCAGTCAACTCTCTGCCAGTTACCCACACTCAATGGAACTCTTACTTTCTGCAATCACGACAAAATTAGACAAATTCGTCACACATGAAAGACTTACATTATCCCGATTGGGTTGTGGTGGTGACGTATGTGTCCAATAAATGGTAAGATCATTGCCCGAAATTATAACATCTTGATCGGGAGAATAGCCTGCGCCTTGATCAGAGTATTGCTGTGTAAACTCAAGTCTGCCCCCGTACGACTTTATTTGATCTCCCTTAAATTCCGGTGGCAATGTCCAGTACATACTTTCTGGGACCCTCGATCTGAACGTGTAACCGATCTTGTTTTCGGCAACATTTATTAAAAAGTCAGATGTAATACTTTGCTGTCGAGTCCTAAAATTTGCAAGATTAGGTTTCTGTTTTAATTTAGCAATTGGTAAAGCGAACTTTGAGGTTAACGAAAATCCGTGATGATCTTGACTTAGGATTTGACTAGGTAGTTGCTCGATGTAGAAGTTGCTTTCCACACATTGATCTGTGATTCCAGAGCAGAAACATTTCTGGCATCCCTCTGGGTTGGTGTGGTTTAACCCGAATGTACCCGGGCGGCAGTGGTCGCACCTGGGGCCTTCTACATTGGTCTAAGGTTCAAAAATTGTAGTCTCTATTGCTATCCATTTATCATATACCTTGCAGTGACAGTATCCTCCCACACAAACAGATGAGAGCGCTCCCGCTGGATTGCATTCACATGTTTGAGCTTGCGATTTACACTCGCCTGTCCTAGGATCGAGCTCAAATCCGGGCAAGCATTGCTCACAATTTGCACCAGAAGTGTGGTCTCTACAGTTCTGCAAGTATATTTATTTTAAAAATGAATTGGACAACATAACGCATTGCATACAAAGCAAGCTCCAGTTTCTGGATCGCATTCGTTCGAGTGACCGTTGCAGGAACATAGTTCGCAGAGACCTAGGTAAATTCCTTCAGGTGCGCGTGTATACCCAACATCACAGTCCTCGCACGATAATCCACGATAACCAGCCGGACATTGGCATTGCTCTACAGCCAAAGCACGCTCTCTTCCTGTGTTACGCTCACTTGCTACGTCGAGAGATACCGAAATTAAACTGAAAGTACACATTGTAAAACAGCTACCAGTACAAATCAACTCACCTGGCCTCTAAAGTGTTTGTCGTGTAAGTTGCCTTAATCAGAATTGCCTGAAGGTCTGCCAAAGCCATGAGAAGATGTTCTCTGTCTACCTTTTGTCCATCTGATCGCTGCCAGTGCTGTTCTAGTAGAGGAACTGAGAACGTTTGTTTCGTATTTGGTTGTGAGTTATCACGTGCAAAGTACAAGAGATTGATGTGATTTTCCTAAAATGTTTTTGATAAAAAGGCACTTACGGGCATAGATTTCATGTCTTACACTTATCAGTTCAACATCAGGCGCAGTATTTCTAGAACTTTGGCCACCAGGCGTCGGAACATATCTGATTGTGTACCGCAAGTATCCACCATACGCTGATATCTTATCGCCTAAGAAGCGAGAGGGCAGTGACCAATACAGTACATCTTGATTTTGGCTGTTGAAACTACTGTAGACAATTTCGTTGGCATTTTGATCTAAACGTATTCCGTCCCGTATAGGAACTTCTTTTCTTAGCGCTTCTACCAAGCGAACATCATGTTGTGAGCTAGTAAACGCGATATTGATCTACAACATGAACCTTAGAAGATTCGGCACGATACTGGGTTGAATACTCACAGAATCGCGATACCAATTTGAGCTGGTACATTGTTGAGTGATACCCATACAGAAGCAGGCAATACAACCAAATTGATTCTCAGAGCTGAGATGGAACGTATTAGGCTTACATTGATTACAAGTAGGACCATAAGTGTTTTGCTACAAACATATTTGTATTAGTTCTAATAATAACCTTAATGACACATGTATTCGTTTGAGTTATAGGGATTTACTTACAAAATTCCGTATTGAAGGGAGCATAAAGAAATGAAATCATGTTAAGAATAATCGAGTAAATTGGTGAAAGGGCTAGGAATGTTTAATGATTATTCTTACTTTACAATCGCATCGTTGTCCGGCATAGTTCAGTGATCCATCTGGGTTGCATCCTATTCCAGGTTTGCAGTAGTCGCCCGGTACCAATGGATTTCCGGTATAACCAGATGAGCACTGTTCACATCTTCTGCCAACATATCCAGGTGGACATTGACATGTAACTTGTCCGTCTGATTCGAGCTGGCATGTGTGGCCAAATCTAAAAATAGGAATTAAAGATTGTAGGGCGAAAATGACACTTATTCCAATGAAAAATTTGTGTAGATGCGTAATTTTTGTTTAAATCTTATCGCCTTTGTAACTTATTCAATTTAGATAAGGCGTTAGAGGTAAGGTCACATCTGGTCCTTCGTGATAAGAAGGGTTTTTATTTGACGAAATTTAATTAACGCACGCGTTTTATCGCTGATAAGAGATGCAGATGTGATTAGTGCGTTATTTCAGCGTAAGTGGGGAAGCCGCGCATTCCTACGAAGATTAATTGTGATTGCCGGTTTATTGAAAAATTGTTTGCAAATGGAGATTATTTTATAGTGGAAGTGGTGTTTCGTTAAATACTAAAGACAACGAGAAGACTGACCGTTCGACATTGCATACAGCAATATCAATAAGAAGGGTTTTTATTTGACGAAATTTAATTAACGCACGCGTTTTATCGCTGATAAGAGATGCAGATCTTTGCTAAAGCGGAACGAAACTGAAACTGGTTAATATCCTTGACCGTTCGACATTGCATACAGCAATATCAACATGTAAGTTCTTTGCTAAAGCGGAAAAACTGAAACTGGTAATATCCTTACAAAAGTGGAATAATTAACAAATCGATATTAATAACTTACTGATTTCGGGAATCTGTAAGTGGACATGGGCATGGTCGACAAGGAATTCCATTCGATGGATCTCCGTAAGTTCCGGGTTGGCAGGTTGCCACCTCCTTGTAACATTGGCCAAGCCAAGGTCCTGATTTGTGTCGGCTGAATCCTGGTGCACAACTCTGAAAAATATTGTGATTAGGTACTGCACATGTAAAACTGGGGCCAAATTCTTACCTCACAAGACAAACCGGAGTATCCGGCGGGGCACGAACACTGTTCTACATATATAGCCTGGCCTAAACCAGTATTGCGTACGGCAGCAGAATCCATATCGATGTTAGTGAGGGCTGTATCCAAATGGCCATCGACGTATTGCAACTTAATCAAAATATGTTCTACGTTTTCTAACACCATCATTATATCTTCGCGAGTTGCTATAGCTTCTGGCGCATTTGGTGATCGTCTAACCCATTCTCCAGCAAAGAATCTAACGGAAATATCTTCTTCTCTACCCGCTTGGTGAGGGTTGCCGATGTGAAGTAACGTATAGCCATTACCCTACAATTGTATGCAAATACAGTCGAGCAACAACACTGATCGATCTAATACCGTTAAAATAACATCAGGAGCAGTGAGTGGTCGCCCATATCCGTCATAACGTAACTTATACTTCAAATATCCGCCATAACTTTTCAGTTGATTGCCAACAAAGTTGTCAGGTAAATCAAAGTAAGGCAAAACATCACTTTGCGCTAAATCGCCATATGGAGCCGCTAAAACGGCATGAACGCCGTTTTGGCCAACTGGACTAACTTTTGGCTCGGCGCCTCTGTAGATCGGTTCATCTCTGATGTCTACCACGCCGGAATAGGGATCCACGCGAACACCCAAATATTTATGGGCATTAAATGGTGGTTGCAACTACATTGAAAGATTAAAAACATATGCGATTTCACAGTCGATTACCTGATAGATGAATAAGTCAGCTGATCGACAATCGGCAGTTGCACCGAAACAGAAGCAACTAATGCATTCGTCTTGGTTTCGGGCTTCTTCGTTGAAAGTTCCTTTCGGGCAGATAGGTGCTCCTCCATTTACAACTAGAATGGTGTCTGGGCGTGCGAAAACTGCGCCGAATATATTTATTGCTTCACAAGAATAGGCTCCTTGATCTTCAATCTGTATGTTCGGACAGGTCAGTGTGCCAACTCCCCCAACGCTTGTCGTTGTACATTTCTCAGGAATATGTCCCCAGTTAAGTCGCCACACCACCTCTGGCATGGGAACACCGACAGCCGTGCATGTAATTACAAACAGTGCGCCAACGTTGAGGTTTACCATCGGAGGGGGAGGTTTGGCGATTACAACGGCAGCTAAAATGTCGCTTAGAAGTTTAATGTAAATTAGTGGGGGTTAATTACAGCAGCCGACTTCGTCGCTACCATCTGCACAATCACGCTCGTGATCGCAGTGGTAACTCTTCGGAATGCACTGGTTGCCGGCGTGGCATGCAAATTCGTGGTGCTGGCAAGGAGATCCTGGAGGGTTGGTAGCGCAGCTCGCTTCGTCTGTTCCGTCACCACAATCGTCATCGCCATCGCAGCGCCATGTTTTAAGTACGCATTTCTTGTTGTTACATTTAAATTCGTTGGGCTCACAACCGTGGGAACCTACAGTGAATATTCATTAATTATGTTTGATAAATGCAGATCAGGCACATACTGCAGCGAGTTTCGTCAGAGCCATCTTTGCAGTCAAATACTCCATTGCATACTAAATGCTTCGCTATACAATCTCCGTTGGAACAAGTCGCTTCGTGAAGCTCACAGGCTTTGGGTGGACGAGGAGCAGGAGCAATGTCTGCGTTGAAAACAATTATTATTATTATTATTTATTGTAAATATCAACAACTGCGATACACTTACCGTTAATATTATAAAGACATAGGTAGGTAAAAAGGGGACAACAATTAATTAACATTACTTAGTTTTAGTATGTCAGATATACCTGTTCCATGATATTCAGTATCTATGGGTGGCAAAATTCCGTATTTTAAAACAGATGACTGAAATTTACTGTCTTTGTAAGATTTCATCCACGCTGCATGCGAAGTTTTGAGACTCGTTAACGGGTATACTAATAGATAAAGTACTTACGGGCCTCGACGGTCAAGTAGACGTTAACTTGGGCGCCGGGGGTTGACGGTGGATATCCAATGGCAACGCAGGTGTATGCGCCACCCTGATCCATTTGTATGTTGGGTATTTCCAGACGGCCAGCGTTATCGCGGGTTCCTTGAGGAAGTGGCAAACCATTCCCTCTTATCCACTTAACCTTCGCTCTTAAAGGTCCCTCATCACGACATTGGAAGACGACCTCACGCCCTATATTGACATTTTACAATTAACGAATGCCGGAATTAGAAGGGTTCATGCAGTATGTACACCGAACTGTTAAATATTATTCTTGTTTACTATTGTACCTGTGTATATGAATTGAATTTAATACGAAATGAGATTCAGTATCAATGATGTTGATTAAGAGAGCTTTAAGTATAAAGGATGTATGTTAACAACTTATATTTAATATTTAATCGTATGTGTGAATGTGTAAGTCGATATTCGATGGTTTCTCTGATAAAATGTGTGTAACACAAGGGTAATCTAGAGGGCAACTAGTAATGCACTAAATCACACACATTATAATAGAGATATAGGCAAAAAAGAATATGGAGTTTATTAATAATATTTACATTAGATGCTGCAGGTAGAGTAGGTATATACACCAAATTTAAACCATAGGATTGCTTCCACATTTATGTAAGTATGGTTTAAATTAAATAGGAAAAATGTGACAAAATGAAAAGTGAAAATATGGTAACAGGCTCAGGCAACGTCTTATACTCACCAGGCTTGTACACGCCTGCATTCCGAAAACATAGACAAAAAGAGCATTAGTGACCACATGGTTTATGTATACTTATTCTCTAGGTTAATAGAATATCATTAACTTCTCATTCCTAGACTCGCAATAACAATTTTCGGGCTCTTTTATTTATTTTAAATAAATTCATTTGCCAAACTTCATCTATGTAACGTGTATTTTTCAATTTTCACCGTTGTGACCAATAAGTTTAATTAAATTGTTTAATACGGAACAACTGTGATGGATCATACAACATTGGATCACGCAAATTAATAATGTAGTGAGATAGTAAACAAATTTGTAGTAGTTGTATCTCCAGTGGACAAATATCTGAACAAATCCAATGGTTAGTGGAATCATGACTAGTTTTAGTGACAAAATGCAGAACACGACTTTTCCAAGGTATAGCCGTTGGATGTGTCTAGAAAGTTGGGTTTATAACTCAGCTCAAATGCATTTCGATCAAAGTTTTAAATTCTGTTACGTGCATGATCCAACAAAATTAGGATTTAACCAGGAAATAATTTTGGTAAAGCTAAAGCAGAACTATACGATTCAAATGTCAAATTCCTCGAATTTCAGTCTCATGAATCCGAATCCTGAATTGCAATATTTAGATTACGATTAGCCATAGACGATGGTGATAGGCGTTTAAAATTAAAAAGGACGAAATACTCTTATCAATCAAAAACCGTTTTGAAAATACGTGGACGTAAAAGAGGTCAAAAAGCAGTAGAATCTAAGAAAAAATGAAATTATCAATTCGGTTGGTAACAAGTGTTGACGTTTTTGGTAATTTCATCTGTTTTGCCAAGATTCCAACCGAGAGGTAATTAATTGGCTGAGTAGGATTTGTACAGCAATTTCCTCGTTTGTGTAAGTTTTGACCATTTCGATCAAAAATTTGGGAGTGTTAAATTTTTAGGAATGTGTTTGTTAAGCCACATCTAATTGCAAATTAACGAAATTACAATTGATCAAAGGTATAAAAACTTACTTATGACTTACTACTTAGTGGCAAACATTAAAACATAACGAACTGTAAACTGCACTTGCTAAAGTGCCCCTTTTTAAATAAATCTGTAATGTAGTTATTCGACATAGACGATTGATAAAATAAATCATTTGGTATGATTACGATTGTACATCGGAGGGACCCAAGTGACCGTCAGGGGGTGCTCAGCCCCTTGGATACGGCCCTGCCTCCGACCATCAATGATTTTTTAAACCATGGGTAAATTATGTAATCCCCTAAAGGATATAACACACAGGAATAGTTAATATTAAACAACACTTACTTTCTTTGATGGTTTGTTCATTGGGATACGTCTTCAAGTGCAAACCACCAGTGACACCAGCTAAAATAAGAAACTATGTTAATAATTCGGCTGTGGTGTGCAAAGAAACTGCATCTACTGTTCTACTATTGAGATGCACGACTGTATGTTATAATAAATATCGCCTATACCGACATAAAATGATGAACTTTTTGTTATTCTACATATGAAAATATTAATCATTAGTCTTGAACTACTAAAACTTTATTATTCGATAAGGTTTTAGTACCTACATTGTACAATGGTTAAGTTCTAATTTCTAAATGATTAGAAATCGATCATGATCTTGCATTCATATGGAAGAACTCCATAACCAAAAAACTAATGACTAATGAGTTTTACGTTTGTTTCTATAAAAGCTGAAATTTGATAAGGTCAGTCGCATTACATTGGGATGCGACCGACTTACTGTCAGGCGGTCTCTCAGTAAAATCGGAACAATCCAGCTCATCACTGGTGTCATACGGACAATCCACTTTTCCATCGCACCGTAACTCCTGTCTTATGCACGGACCATTTTCGCAACGAAAATATCCTCTGCTGCATCCACCACTAACATTTTTGTTTGCTAACAGTATCACCGAATATATTTAATTCGTTATTGTACGTGTTCAGGCAATGAAATTGAATTCACTTCTATTGCCAGAACGTTTGGTCAAAATAGAAAAGTCACTTACGACAGTTGGTTTCATCGGACAGGTCGTTACATTCGTATCTTCCGTTACAAAATGCGGAATAGGGAAGGCATTGATCTCCACTGTTGCACATCCGTTGACCCCAAGGGCAGTTTGCTACTCCAGATCCAGGGTCGGGGAATCGTGGTGGTATCGTTACTGGTGGTTCAGTTGGGGTGGGTTCTGTTCCACAATTGATTTCATCGGAGCCATCGTTACAGTCGTTGCGGTAATTACATCGCAAATGTCCAGCTATACACGTACCGCTAGCGCATTGATATTCATCCGCTCGACAACCTGGACAAGAACATTTGTATAAAATTGAGCAAGAACTATCAATTCTTTTTCCCTGATTTTTCTTGATGATGTTCATGAAAAATCATGCAATCTTTTACAAAATAATTGAATAGATATGTACGCGTACAGTATACACACTAGCATTTTACTGCAGTAACACACTTAGATCATGCATAACTTTATATGGAATTTTGTCCAAATTGACACCAACAGTTAAGTTTCCCGAAATAAGTATGCATATTGTTATCTTTTTTCGAACAGTTCAAGCGCATGGCCCTTTGTAGGCATTTTTCAAAGCAATCAATGAATGAGTTTTTGAATGAGCAGGACTTCCTCTATTTATGGCCTACCGGGTAAAATATACGAACACACTAGAGGTCGGTCATTCAGGTTTCAGTTAAACTTAACTGACAGTTAATTTCCATAAAAACAAATTTTACTGAAAATTGACACCGGCTCTAATTTGTACCCTTTTCTAAATTGCAATCGTCGCTGATAGATGTCCATTACTTTTAGAATTCCTTTCAAGTTAAAAAAAATATCTACCCAAACTGTTCTATTCAGAACGATTTTAACATATCTCGAGCAAAAATCACATAAAAAATGTATCAAATTTACTTTTACTAAATCAAATAATCTGGAAGCTTATGAGATTCAAAAAGTTGTAGACATACATAGTTCCATTCTAACAACTTAGTCTTTTTAAGAGCCTGTATGTTAACATTTTAAAAAACCTTTAAGAATCTTTAAGAATTTCCATTAGTCTCCAAAGGTTTTCAAGAACCTCTGAGAGCATTCTAGAGGTTTGGGTGACTTTGAAAACCTTTAAAACATACCCTTTAATAAGGTCCAGTGGTTTAAAGTGTGCTGTAGAGCCTTACAGACCTTTTTTCAGTCTCTAAGAGCTTTCAACAGTCTTAAAGAGTTTTTACATTGTTGTGTAAACAACGTCATGTAGACGTTATTTCGGTCTAATCACCAAAAATAATGACATCCTGTATATGAGAATGTTTCAATTTTGTTAGGTGTGGGTCTGGTGGAGTTGTTTCGCGTCATTTGAATTTGTTATCTCAGTATCTATTTTTCCTTATTAGAATTGTTTGTAATTGCGTATTATTTTCTCGTTTAAAGTTTATCGCTTTCGTAAATTGTTTATTTAGATTTGTGTATTTAATTGTGCAATTACGTGTAAAAATGTGGGGACATCTGGTCGTTTGCGATAAGAAGTTTTGTTATCGGACGAAATTTAATTAACGCACGTTTTCTTGTGGTTGTTAGAACGAAATTGCAAGTGTTTACCGATTGTAATTGTTTTTGAAAATCCCGAAGAAGGAGACAATTTTATCAACGTAAAAATGGGGCTACTATCGTTGCTATTGCAGCTGAGCAGTCTGTATTAAAAAAAAGTTAATTCCAATGTGAGTAAACAAAGCATTTGTCTGCTTAGTAAAGTTAGTAGTTTTTACCGTCCGAGCAGGCACCTCGTTCATCTTACTCACCCAACAAGATTTTTGTAATCAAGTTCAGTGTTATCAAGCACAAGTGAAATTCAGAAGATAGCGTTTGTGTGATTTTAGTGCTCCAATATCGCAAACCTTTCACGACCACATATTTGAATTCTTAAAAAAACTATGTAATTATAAGATTTTTTCAAATTTTTAATTATCGCCCGTCTGCGTGCGGGGTGTGTCCAAACAAGCTTTGGAAACTTCTCTTCCGTTCAGGAATTTTGTTTTAATTATTTCTTGTGTTTCCGAATAACTTTTTGTCATTGTGTGTTTATTCGATTCCATTGTAGACCGGAATAGAGCTTTTCATATCAGATTCTTCAGGTGTCAATAAAAATGTATATTTAATCCTTTGGAAGTTTCGGAAGCGACCGAGGTTCTCACATTGAGAAATTTTAAGTCCAAAGTGCGTTTGGACCGAATGGTATCAAAGTAATTTTTATTGTATTAGGGAAACAAAATTAACTTCCAATTTTCTTAATGTTAATTCTGGAATAATAGACCTCATTCAAACTACGCTTTACGTAAATCGTTTAGGATTGCTTGTTTTTTTTAAGTGACATAACAATCGTTAGGCTCAGATGCCAGAGCTTTAAACTACTAAATACAAAATACACGAAACAAATATATCTCAAAAACTCACTTACGACAGGCAGACGCACAGAAAAAGTGTCTGCAGAGCCTTTTCCTAAGTCCATTTAACAAATCAAAATGCTTTAATTCGTGTTATAGAACATTTCAGAACCTTTTTCGGTATCTGAGAGCTTTTAAGCGTTTTAAAGGGCCTTTAAAGTTTTCAAGACCTTTAGCACCTCCACCTCTCAAAGCTGAACATTTGTTAATCTTTAAGAGTCTTCTGTACCCACTGCACCCAATGTAAATTTCCATAAGAGCGCCCGCCATAAAAACTCAAGTTGTTTATCGAAAAAAAATTTTTTTAAGAACTATTTTATAAATTTAGACCTTTATCTACAAAATGTTCGGACTATTTTTTTTAAAAAGTGTATAGCAACTGAATATCGATTTTTTAAAGATTAGCTGTTTTGCACCGATTATTGCGCTAATCTGTTTCATTTTTTTACTCGCGATCAAGACGATTTTTGGAAAAAGTAAACCGACAGTTTTTTAATAAGTTAATTCTAAACATGACCCCAAAAAATGAAATCATATTTTTTTTAAATAAAGTCTGTATCTTGGCGGGCGGTAAATCAACAATTTCAGTGTAACAAGTGGCTGCTTAGTCTCGGCGGGAACTAACTAAGGACCAAGACAGGAGTTCACAAAGCAAAAATATCATCTTGTATCTTGCAACTATAATCATCTATATACTATAATGTAAAAAAGTTGCGCTTGGGTAAAGAAGACTCTTAAGGATCTTTAAGATTACCCAAAAGTTTTCAAAAGCCTGTCTCTTGTAACCCTTTGACTTTGAGAACTTTTAATATACAACAAAATGTTCCTTAGGGGACCATTCAGGTTATTAAGGAGCTTTTAACGAGCCTCTAAGATGCTTTAACACCTTTGAGAATCTATGAGGGCCTTTAATAGTTGTGATTGAGTCTTCAAAAATGTTTAAAAGTATCCTAAAAGGCTTTAATAGTCTTGTTGTGGTTTCGAAATCGTAGTTGGCTTTTTTCACCTTTTTAAAGTCTTCAATGACATTAAGGAGCTTTTAACCACAAAGCCTTTAAAAGCTGTTAGGTATCGGTATTTAAAGGTCTTTCCGAATAGGAAGTAGGTCAAAAGGGTCGTCCAGAATCTTTTAGAGCCCTTAAAATTGTCACCTCCCTTGTAGAAGTCATAAGGGACTTTAATGGCTTTCAAAAACTCTTAAGTATCTGTGTGGGTTTAGCCGTAAAGGAGATTTAATAAGTGTCTTTAAGAGCCTCGGATTGTAAAAGTGGTAAAACTTTTTCAGAAATTAAAAATTGGTGCAAAGGTCTCCAGAGTTAATACAATTTTATGACGAACTCCTGGAACACCTGACGAAAGTAGCTTAGCCCTTAATATGGGGATGACGTCTGAAGCAAATTCGATATACAACAATATGCATCCTACTTTAAATTCCCCAGGAAACCAATCTGTATCTACGAAGCTATATAAAGATGTTTAAATTGTACTGACATAACATTATTCTTGTACAGCATGTTATATCAGTGGAAAACAAAATTTACATTAAATACAGTACTAAAATAAAAAACAATGCAAACGTCGGCACACGAACAATTCATAATAATCCTACTTGATCAATGTTCTAATTAATACTGGTTCTAAGTCCTACTAATTGAAAAAGGGAATTATATCTCTGTAGTCGCTACCTACATTATCCCACAGTCACTAATCTATCTACTATTTACAATAGTTTACCAAATTGACATTGATTACTAGTAATAATAACCTTCTACGACATTCTTCAATCTCACTTCTATAATGTAGCTAAATGACATCCATACAAAACATGTAAATTTTCCACAATACACGAATATAGTTCTAACCGAAGCAGTTTTGCTCGTCAGAAAAATCCCGGCAGTCGTAGTAATTGTCGCAACGAAGTACGGATTCGATACAGGCTCCATCTGCGCACTGGAACCAGTCAGGGTCCGCACAAATTCCTGGCCAAAGGGGCCAGAACATAATATGTTACGATTTGTTATTAGAGAAATAGAGAATAACATGTTAAACCCCTCATTGCCGAATCTGTTCCGTCATGTTCGTTTTGTACTCACCACATTCTGTTTCGTCAGATCCGTCTTTGCAGTGCGGCGTGCCGTCGCAGACCAAATAGTTTGGAATGCACGAACCGTCTTTGCAGGTGAACTCGTACCCTTGGCAGTGTTTTGTAGGGGGCGCACAGTCAAATTCGTCAATGCCATTGGCGCAATCAGATCTACCATCGCATCTCAGATGTTCAGGAATGCATTTGCCATCTTCACAGCTGAATTCTCCACTTTGACAATTTGTCGCTAGAAAAACATTAAAAATTACAACATATCCAGGGACGCAATGGGACCATCTGATGCTTTTGCTATATGTCAAGCATTGCAATGTTAGATCCAAATTTAGTAGCTACAAAGGCTAAAACAAATCTAAATATCGGTACCAAAATACAGTCTGTTTCTACTCTAAATTTAAGTGAAACGTTTTAAGTCAAAATCAATGGAAACCCGAAGTAAATTTCGCAAAGTAATTTCAACATAAGTCACAAGTCTGGAGGAACATTCTACAAAACCATTAAACAACTATTTAATGACCACGCTAATAAACAAAAGGTCACTTTGCGATAATTTGTTCGAGGTCCCCAGATAGAAACTGATTAGCTCTATTTTCAATTCGGTGCTTATAACAATATAAAACTTACGTATATGACAATATAGCCTACCTGTACAACCTTCTTCATCAGTTCCATCTTGACAGTCTTCAAAGGTGTCACAAACAAATTCTTTTCTAATGCATGACTTGTCGCCACATTGAAATTGATCAGCTTCACAGGCTGCACAATTAAACACATAAAGCATTGGCAGACACAACGATGCGAAATTTATGTACTTACTACTTATTTATGTACGTACCTTAGCGGTTATATGGCCAATTGAATGCATATTTTAACAATGCACCGAATGGTATAGGTAATTAGTTAAATCTATAATGTCTATAAGTAGTTGAATACTTTCAGTAAATTTTGATGAAAGGTTAAACTCGGTCGGAAAGCGAATTAAAAGTGAATACAGACAAAATAAGGGAAGATAAGGAAAATATGTAGATATAAAGAAAAATTAAATGGGGCGATATTCAGAGTTAAGGAAAGGCACAGAGCGGAAGGTAAAGGGAAGTAAAAACAATAAGATAAGAAAATATGGTAAAGCAGAAGTTAAAATTAAAAAAAACTAAGGAAGAAACTAAAAGATAAAATGGAATTAGAAGGTAGCTTAAAGGATATGACGAAATAAAGAAAAAAACCAAGAATGCAAACTGTTATTTAAGACAGCTCGAGAAAAGCGAATACAACATTTTACAAAAGATGCAAAATAGGAAAACTAGGGGAGCACTTGAGGACATCAATGAACATTTTGCAAGAAATGGCCAAAAGAATAATACCTAAGGCTGACGGGGAGTAATAGAAGAACGTTTCACTAAACTGACAATTGGAAAAATAATGGTACAGGAAAAAGAAACGGACGTCAGCAGACAGGAGGAATTCACGGAAACAGAGGGACTGCCTAAAGAATTTATGATTACCATCTTGGGAGTTGAACAAACGTCCAGTAAAAGAAGGATTAATACAAAGCGCATGGAGAAATGAGGAAGAATTAAAAATGGAAGGAAAACTGAATAGGGCAGAGTATTTTTTGATTCGGCATTAGCTTCACTTTTTACAGGCTTTTTATGATATTTTTTTGATATTGTGCACACGGACAGACAGACAGCAATACAACATTATCTCGAGGATTTTTAATAAACAGTAAATTATGCTGATATATGTAGAACAATGAAGAATGAATTAAAGTGAATATAACAAGAAAAACGTCGAAACGGAATTTTGAGTCGTAAGAGGAGGGATTTTAAAACAGTATACGGAATTAGACTCATATGGTGGAAGAAAATAGTAAAGATAAAATGCAGGAAAAGAAAGTTTGAACCGAATCGGTTATAGCGTTTGCCAGTTATCGTGTCCACAAACAGACAGACAGACACTATCGACTCCCCAAGCGAAACAGAAATTTTTCAGAGTAAGAAAAAAAATGGCAGATGTATGAAGTGAAGAGAGTGAAAGAAGCACGTTACCGAAAAATGAAATTATTTAACCGGAGGAAGAAAAGATAAAAAACTAAAAAATAATGGACTTAGAAAATCAGAAGACATTGACACGAATATCTTAAAAATAATCATAAATATTGAAGAAAGTTAAAAGAAAGACAAATCGAGAAGGGGACGAGTTTCATTACGTAAAAGATGATTTATAAAGAAGGATGCGAAGGGAATGACAGCAGAAAGAATGAAAAGGTGAGAAAGAAAGAGCAATAAAGTGAGTGAAAGGGTAAATAAATCTCGACGAAATTATGCCCATGGATAAAGAAAGCAGATGTAACAAGTTAAAGAAGTGCGAACAGTAGAAACAGACACAAATGTCAAAATTAAGCATAGATTTCAGAAGAAAGGGGCTTCAATTCGCAAACAGGGAACGAAGCAGGAAAAAAGAAATTATCAAAGATTGAAAGAAAAGACAAGATAATGGAATTAGAAAAGTTGAAGTCGGTAGGAAAATGGCAGGAAATCAGAAAAGGAGGTAGTGGAACAAAATTGGAATGAAACCGGAAGAGCACTTAAATGATGATAACGAAGAGAGTCAAATTGAGAAGGTGAGAATGATATCGAATCGATTCAATAATGGAATACTGTAATAAAAAAGAGGAGAAGGAAGATAATTACAGGAGGAGGAGGATGTCAAAAAAGAAGAGCATGGAAACGAGATTAATGAATGTGAATAGTTAGCAAAAGAAATTAATGCAATAGAACAAGAAACCAGAGAAGACAAGCTAAGCAGGTACGAAGATCAGAGACAATAATAGCAGAATGGAAGAAAAAGTGGAAACCTAATATGACTGAATTAGAAACGTTGAAATCAGTACGGAAATGGCAAAACATTGCATGGAAAAGGAAGATAGGAGACACTTAGAATGAAACATAACTAAATATATAAAAAAGATACATTCTTTGAAAGGGAAGAGGACAAAATCGAGAAGGAGAGAATTATATCAAGTGAAACAAGCCTTTAATTTGATGTAATGTAATATACAAAAGGAAAAGGAAAAAATAATAGGAGGAAGTAAATGTCACAAAGAAATAATCGTTGACATAATGAAAATGAAAATGGGAAACTGATAAATAATGAAATAACATAACGAAGAAAAATATGATGTAAAAGGGAAGTATAGCAAATTAAGTAAGTGAATTAATTAATGACAAAATGTTCTAATATACGAAGCAACTAGAAAATTATAAAAGAACGAAGAATGTGTCTGTGCCCTTTTCAGGTGCGTTATCACGTTGGAGACTTTTATCTAATGTTTCGCTGTAAAAAAATAAAGAAACAGAAGGTCGCCGGAAGTGAGAGTTTTTACGTTTTTCCCTGCGTTTTTCTTTTTCAAGAATGTGCCTGTGCCATTTTTCTACCCGTTCGGAGCTGTTGATTTTATTTACTGTGTCTAAAGCTTGTGTATAATTTTGCATGTCGAATCAAAAATGAGGACCATAAAATCTACTTGTTGAAATCCCAGCAGTTCAATTAGCTCATATAATTGCAAAAGTTTTCTTGATACTTCTATACTATTTACGACTAAATCTATTCTCAAAAATGCTTTGCGAAGCAGCAAACGTAAAAGTTTTGCTGAAAAGATGCAAAGCTTAAACATCAAAAGCCCCGTACCTACCTTCACATCCGATTTCATCTGAACCGTCATTACAATCTTGATATTTGTCACAACGGAAATCAATTCCAATACAAGTCTTGTCGCCACATTGAAACTGATCAGCCCCACAAGCTATTTCAAAAACACAGCATTAAGCAACACAAAAGTCGTATACATAAGCAACAATTGTGGAATACAGCTATTTACATATATACATCGAATCTAATATGAAAATGGGGATTTGCATGCTTTTCCCACATACTTACCATGATCAAAGGTTAATGAGGGAGTTAGGAAACTGTCACTAGTGACCTGTCCACATTTCAAAGCAGTTCGGCATTCTTGGTAATTAATATTTTATTGCTTTAAATGTGAACAGTACTATCAAGGACAACAGCTACCTAGTATTTATTTAATTTATTAATACCATAGGAGAATACCTAAGTGATCCGAGATTGATTGAATATGTTTATGTATTCAATCATCCTCATAAATATTTGGTTATTTATACCTAATTACTTTTTTAATCCTAGAGTAGTAAATATTAAAATTAGTACGATTTTGACTCTATAACACTAATACCACACGAACGACAACCAGAAATTCACACACAGGTATCATGCTCAAAGATACGAAGTAGGTAAGCAAAGAAATCAACTTTGCACAGTAGCTAACAACAGACAGATAAAGAAGAAACCCATTACAACATCTACCTAATTGTCATACAAAAGTAGGTAAATAAAAAAGGTTAAAAAAACACCTACACACTGGACTGGTGGTAGTATTATGCTCAATAACGCCCGTACATCCCAACTCATCCGAGTTATCTCGACAATCTGGGTAGCCATCACAGCGACGTTTAACATCCAAGCAAACTCCATCCCCACATCGAAAGCTGTCCCCCGGACATTGCAAAACTACAGAATTTACACATATATCTCATCACATAAAATATATAGGTAATAAGCAAACAATATTGGCAACAAATGCACGTACCACAGTCAACCTCATCAGAACCGTCATTACAATCTTTGCGCCCATCGCAACGGAAATCTTCTGCAATGCAATCGCCGTTTTCGCAACGAAACTCGTCGAGATTGCATACGCTACAATTACGTTCGTCTGAGGCATCGACGCAATCAAATATGCCGTCGCATAAGTGACCTTCAATGCAACTACCATCGTTGCATTTTATTTGCCCCTGACTGCATCCTTCTGTGGATTTAGTAGAAGAATAACACATTGTTATTTACAATTTACAAAGTAGTGTAAATATTATTCATTTACAAAGACGTCTACTAGCAGAGACTGGAAACTAGAAGGATTTACTAGTTTTCTATGTAGAAGTTAGTACAATAGAGAAAACAGCGCTACAAAGAGAAAGTTACTGGATAAGTAGAAATACCCACCGACACAGTTAAACTCGTCAGACCCATCGCGGCAATCCATGTAATAATTGCAGCGCAAATGCGAGCTTATGCAACCACCGGAAGCGCACATGAATTCGTTAGCCCTGCAGGCCGGTACTGGCAAACATAAACCAAGCAAATCAGTACACCTTCACCACCTCCACCTCCACATATATTTTTTTAACAGAACAGAAAGTCTTCAAAACTACACCACAGAATTGTTGCAGTAGGTATAATAAAATCCGAACTGTGTCGAAGATGCTTTACTGTCTGTCGAAGGGCTTGCAGCGACGCATGCATGTAAAAGGCCCATTAATGAGAACGGAAAGGGGGGAAAATAAACGAAACGTTTATTCTCCCGCCTTCCATGATTCTGTTGACATGCAACCCTTGACCAGTGTAACAGTATGTGTTGATTGGTTCAAACCTAAACTAAATCTATGGTCATGGGGGAGTCTCCAGTGATATAATAGTAGTAGTATCACTAACAACTTTACAACGTTTATTTATAGGGAATTTAAGAATTGTTAAGGTACTACTTATAGATAGAAGAGTGCCAACATGGCTTTGCGAAACTGGACATACTACAAATCCTTGTGTAGTATTATAGTATGGTAAGATCGTGAAGTGTGTACCTAGCTCCACAATTTACATGTATCTTATATTTAAAACATCCCCAAGACACAAATTAGACAGACCCATATATTTAAAAACGTACAAAACACACCGCTCCGGGTGCTCCGACTATGTACAATATTTATAAATATTTACACCTTACTAAATAAAAGTGTAATGTTACCTGAACCTATTTGTATTTTTATAATGCTGGCAGGAGATGGTGGACAGTAACAGTTAAATTCGTCAGAGCTATCTCGACAATCGTATGTTTTGTCACATCTTTTATGGGCAGGAATACATTGTATCTTGTCAAAACATAACCATTCATTTTCAAAACAGGGTTCTTCGCTGCTCGCATGCCAAGGGAAAGTAGCAAGCGTTGTCGCATCTAGCAGTTTAGTAAATAAATTTGCTTTGCGGATTATAGCAAGAAGAATTTGTCTACATCTACTTCAGAAAAGTAGAAAGATTTAAAGAGAGAGTAGAATAAATGTGAAATAAAATATCTAGCACATCTACTACAGGTTCATTCCAATTTTAGATTGTGTTGATTCACTACAGAGGAAGAACGATCATTGTTGAAAAACCACACAACACACATCAGAGAAAAAACTAAGAATGAAGACAACTAAAGGAAGTTCTTACCATTGCAGTGAAGCTCATCACTGCCGTCCGAACAATCTTTGATACCATCACACACCTTCGATAAGTTTATGCATTCACCATTAGTACACCTTTTTTCGTTGTTCGTACATGATGCTGTTATTACGAAGAAGCATTAAAGGGGTTACATGCGAATAGTTTAAAAATGCAGATTTACGCTTGTGAGCCTAAATCTGTATCTTTAATGAGTGGTAATGAACCATTCAAATATTAAACTAACCACATGATTCTTCGTCTTCTGAGTGAGGACAATCGGAAACTCCATCGCATCGCTTCGAAATACTTATGCAACTGCCATTGTTACATCGAAACTGGTCTTTTTGACAATCGATACAGCCAATCTCGTCCGAACGATCAGGGCAATCGGGTTGTTTATTGCATTTCAGCATTTGATCTATGCAGGTGCCATCACTGCACTGGAACTGGTAGTATCGACAGGTACTCGTGTCTACGTAATTTTTGTTTAGTTTAAATGACGATTTAAGGGGGGAAATAAAAAAGAGGTGATCCTAAGCTTGCGTACTTCTGACATGCCCTACGCTACAACTAATCTATCATCTACAGAGAATCTTCAGTGTGGTTTCTGTAATCGCTGTCACCCCCATAAAACCACATGCCCCAATCATTCAAAAGCAAATCTGATCACCCTATCCATCACCTCTACTAAACTAAATCTCAACACCTTGACTCTAACCACTACCTTGAAAATGTACAAAACAACAATAAATAAAAAGCTATGCATACTAGAACAATTAAGCTCGTCTGAACCGTCCTGGCAGTGTCGTAATCCGTCACACTTCTGGTGCGGTGGTATGCAGTACCCGTTCGCACAATGGAAGTCGTCTGATTTACATGCTGTAAACAGATAGTTTTACCTTCGCGAATTTTCACCAACGTGAAAAAAATGTTAATTACATATAAGAGAGTCGGTTGATGAGAAAGTTAATACACTTAAACATCGATTGGGTGAATCAATGATTTAGGAAACCGCGTTGCTGAAGTAGGCATAAAGAGTATGAAATAGATTGAAGAATGGCAGATGAAGATGAAGCTGAAATACACCAAAATGGACGACACACTTAGAAGAACTTGAAGAACACTTACGACAATTTCGTTCGTCAGACTCATCGTCACAATCGTATTTCCGATTGCAGCGTGCAGATAAGGGTACGCATCTGCCGTTATTGCATCTGAACTCCCGGACGGCGTCACATCGTTCTGTATTACGCAAACATGCGGTAGTAATTAATTATCATTAGCATTACTACAAAAATGTAAAAATAACAAAAAGCAGAGCTACAATATATCAAAATGCAACAGCTAAATGCAAGTGCAAGCTAAAAGAATGCAATCAAATTTCATGCTTTACATTCAAAAGCTGTAAAAAACATTGATTGAACATGTTTATCATGTATACGTAATTGAAAAGTATACAGGGAAGCTTACTTGGACTGCTGCAACCTTCTTCATCTTCCCCACCGTTACAGTCTTGCCGATAGTCGCATCGTTGGTAGATCTCTATGCACTTTCCGTCGTTGCATCTGAATTGTCCCGTGCGGCAAGGCTGAGGAGCTGTAAACAAATATATTGCTTGTAGAAAACCAGAGACCATAATGCTATCAAAATCATCAACTGATTTTTCCGCGGTGAGAAAGAAACATGACTACAAGAAAAAAGCTCTCTAACAATACTTGTCCAGTTCTTTCGACGCTACAAAATTCTTATTAGTGCTAATCCAGGAAAAGGATCCGAGCATTCCGATAAATCCATTTTAAAATCTATTGTCTCTTCGTCGCTTATTTCTCATTCATTTCACTTGAATGCAGCGAAATTAATACCGGTATTACGTCTAACATGGAAAGGTATAGGTAACAACCGCATTTAAATTAATTCGGAATCCTTTGCGAAATCTTGCGTGTGAAATTGGGCGGCTTTCGTATTATTAAGGAAAGTTCTACTTTTGAGCACCCGATGACAGTCAAACAAAGACCACATAAAAGAGGGAAAACGGAATAACAAAAAATATGTAAGAGCTTTTTCAGGCAGAAAATGGGATGTACATAGTTCGAGCTTTATAAAAGGGCTGAACCCTTTAGTAAGACGACTACTAAAAGCTCAACACCTCTATCGCATTACTAACGTAATATAGCAAATTCCGCTGTAGTATAGCTTTGACATTTAACACCAAATTTTAAAGTGGGCGTGGAAATTTCGCAGAATTATATTAGAGAATACATTACAGCGCGAACGAAATTCGAAATGAGTTCTTGATTTTAATTTATATTACGAAAAACTTTAGTTTAACAAACAATATCGGTCTATAGTTAGTTTCTCTAACATTAATTCGTTCCATTGTTACACCAAATTGAAAATTTGAAACGTTTAACGTATCATTATTCAAACGTTCGTCGATCGTAAAATTTTCAATTAAGAAATATTGGTGGCGGACAAAAGTGTTGCTTAAACTTCAGTTTTTCACCTTGGAAACCACACTAAATTTGTTGCATTGTATATGTTCCTAAATGATAAATTAGTCTAATTTAGTAGCACCATTAAAAATTTTGTGGTAAGTCTATCTATAGAGAGCGCTATGCGTGAAGATTATGTCTACAAATAAATCTAAATGAAATAGTTTTATGTACATTGATTATATACATTACGACATGCGTTTATATAAGAAGGTCGAAGTAATGAAGAGTTATTAATTGTCATAAAAAGATGATTTTAAATTGTAACATTATTTCAGCTGGAATCTTCTCGGTTAGGGACCGCGATCTCAGTTCAAACGAAATCTCATAAATTCACTTGCAGCAAATTCTAACATCAATAACTAAATCGATACATTGCAAGAAAGAGAGATTCATCATCAATTGATTATTTAGCACAAATTACATAAGTTATTAAACGCTTATGTATTATAGCTTAGAACAAACATGTGGGGGTTTCTATAATATGGGTCATGGTAAAATGGACATTTTTGATCCTACCAATCATGATTCACTTGATACCTAGCACAATTCCTTAATAGGGACAAAATGGCCCTGTATAGTATATTCACAATGCCTTGATTAATAATCATTCCCAGGAATTCACTTATAATTATAATTATAATTAGTCTGGACTAAGTTTTTTTATTGGATATCCTATTATAATAGGATATCCAATAAAAGACTTAGTCCAGGCAAAAACCTCTAACATAATTTATTTCAAATAAATTAGTTCCGGACCCTAACCAGGTTTTTCATATAGGTGAAATCATTAGAAATTGGGGAAAATAATTAAAACAGCTGAGTTTTTACGTGGGCGAAATCCGCGAAGGTGAAAGGGGTGGAAAGTAGTATTTTGCAATCTGTGTCAGAACTATTCATTTTAGGCGAAAGTGTTCGAAGTAAAGATTGTAGGCAATGAAGAAATAAACAACTGTTGTATCTACACATATTTTGCGTAACGTCAAAAAAAGCCGAAAAACCTGTTTTTTTCGTTTTCTATTTCTAATTTTGCGAAAAAAGATCGTGGGGTCTGAAATTTGGAGGAAACATACTTTTATGACAAAAAAATCAAAATTTCTTGGGTCTATACGAAGATGAGCCGTTTCCGAGATATTCAGGATTTTCGAAAACAAACCATCCCCATTTCAGTGGTACCTACATAGGTACGCGAGGTAGCAAAATTTTCGTAAAGATATCACGCCTGTATTTAAACTTCATGAGGCTTTAGGAAATCCCGTTTTTTCCAGTTTCCTTTTTCCCTGTTCCGTGGAAACTTCTTTCGGAGTACACCTTCATATAAATCTACGTTCTAAATGTCAATTCTCTTTTCGATTGAAAAAACGTAAAATTCCGTTTTTTCCCGTTGCCGTGGGAATTTCGAAAAGTGTTTTATTCCGAAACTTTCGAGGGCGTATGTCCAACCATTCCTCAATGTTTCATCGCAAAAGGATGAACGCTTAAAATAGCCATAAGAGACAGACAGACAGACAAACATTAATTTTTATTTATATAGATAATATCAGACCGACGAACGTTGTATCACCTATCCCGGAGAATCTCTTATACATGGGTACATTGACATTGCCCAACATTTCCATTATAATGGCATTACAGTGCGTACATTTTAAATTAGTTGTGGTTTTGTGAGTTCTTAACTCATGCCGTTTCAGGACATGGTGGTAGCTTGTTGTAAAATCGCACTTGGCACATTTTAAATATTTGAAAGTATTGTAGGTGTTTGCTTTGTACTCGTTCATGTAAGAAAGCTATAGCGGATTATAACGCACATAAAAGAGGAGCTTACTGGCTCCGTGGCACAATAATACGCTCAATTAATAGAATATTGATAGTGGGATGCGTGATCTTTCATCGGGTACAGAGTTCGTTGTAAAAGCACATTTTTAATCTTTTGAAGACTTCTGTGTATACACTTCAAATCTCTTGAAGTAGGTATTGCGTATTAAGCGGCAAACGTTTGTTGGTCATTATTACACATTGCGTGCTATACAGTCAATCGAAATCGCGGTAAATATTAATTTTATAGTTTTTAATTTTGACGGTTTGTAAGATAGAAATTTGATTTGGCGGTTGTTGTCATTAGTTCTCTTATTACTTACCTTTATATAATTTTCTGTCTGTTTGTGTTTTTCTATATTTTAATAGGGTCCCACCCGGAAGAAAAGATGAAACTTTGCATGCATGTAGCATTTATATATGTGCTTTAATGACATTATGGAAACAAGTTAAAAAATAATGCTTCCCTCACCCCTCCCTATTTTGTCTCCTTCATTCTGGTTTTCTTAATTTTCTACAAAAACAGTAGGACTGAGGATTTACTTTTCATCACTTTTGTGATAAAATGAGCTGAAGAGGTTACATACCTTATAGGCTTATACGAGTACATATACTAAGCTAAAATATGACTCCAAATTCATTATGGTAGAAGCATTGGTCCCGGAGTTACAGCTTATGAAGCCAGTACAAGAAAGCCCTTACTTTCTATATGCATCGACCTTTATAGCAACTGCGACAGGAACACTTCGTCCACTCCTTTAGTTAGTTCGAGTTTCTTGAAGCTGTTTCTCTCCGTATTAGGAGACGTATTAGTAAACTACTGCCGTTTTAAACCATCCGAAAAAGTACAAGTACGAGAATTAGTTTGAAAGTTACGAAAGAAGTTGAAGAAGTGAAGTTACAGCGGGGGGCTATTTCTTTGTTTCAATTGTGATTGTACGCCTAATAGGGGTTTCGCAGTGACCAGATGCATTAGGACGTTTTAAAAACTAAGTAGTTTTACAATTTTTCATTTTCACTATCGAACGCGTGCGTGCGGTGTAAAATTGTCTAAACAAGCTTTGCAAGCTTCTCTCTTTTTCAGGGATTTTGTTTCATTTGATTTTATGTGGGTCTAGTGTAGAGCAACTCAATTTTTTCAAATAGAAACCTATACATTCTAATGAATATTTTTTGTTTGAGCTAGGAAGCTGTTCTGTCAAGAATTTGGCACACTTTTTTTCTATAGCCATGGGCAACTAAGTATTTTTTATTTCAGAAAAAGTGGCATCTCATTAGAAACAGGACACAATGATTGGACTATTAAGGGTTGAAGAACAGAAAAGAAGACGAGAGAATACAACTAAGAGGAGTAAGATACCATCAAGTGGATTATTCCCTTATAATATAATAAGAATATGTCAATAAAACATTGCTGTAACACTACCCACTACCCTTTGTGATAGCTATTAGACGCTAAAAATTTTTTTTCAGGAATATGTTGGAGAGAGGAAACCGAGGAGGAAACAATAATTGAATTACTAGCGGTTGAAGTACCTATAGAAAACGACAAACACAATAGTACATCTAGGAGAAACAAAATCCCCATAAAGTGGATTATTCACTTATGGTAGGGTACGCCAATGAAACATTGCTCTATAGTCTATAACATTAACGCTTTCTTTCTAGCCATGAGAAACTAAATATTTTTTTATTTTAGAAAAAGTGGCATCTCATTAGAGACAGGATACAATCATTGAACTATTAAGGGTTGAAGAAGAAAAAAAGACGACGCGAGAATGCAACTAAGAAGAATAAAATACTACCAAATGCATATTATATTATTCCCTTATAATAAGAAAGAATATGCCAATAAACACACTCGCAAAAATAAAAAATATGAAAAAGTATAAAAAATAGTTATCAATTTGCATTTGCCTTAACGATCGATGAATAATTTTAAATGATCTCAAAATGTATAATCCAAATTGGAAACAATGAAGTCGTAAAAGTGAGATCGTTCCAAGCGTTTGCCAAAAATTTCGCGTTCCATTTCATCGCCCTTCAATGACTAATAATAAAATTTAAAAAACAGAATTGCAAAAAGCGTTAAAGTGTGAACATTCCTCATTTATTGCACTGCAGTTAACGACTTAAACATACAGCGAATGTTTGTAATAAATGTTGTTGACCGCTCCCACTTAAAGATTTTAAGTCCACGAATACTGGATGTTGAAACAAAATAAGTACAATTAATTAATAACCTTGATTAAGAAAGAAATCCTTAAAATAAATTCACCCACTTAACGC